AGTAGACCAAAACCTCCTTTCTAAGGCTTATGTCCAGCAGTGGACTATTAAAGGCTGTTGATGTGATGTGATGATGTGATTAATATTATTTATTATATTACATATAACTATATTAATTATTAATATCATGATAAATGCTCCAGCAATCACATGGTTGGTTGTAAAAATTGAATTTTATTTAATTATATTTTTTTCCAATTCAAGAGCTGAAATTACGAAACGAAAGAAACGAAATAAAATTTTCTCCAATGTATAACTTTAACCTGTTTTTAACCAACTTCAAAAAAAGGAGGTGGTTCTCAATTCGACTGTATTTTTTTTTTTTATGTTTGTTACCTCAGAACTTTTGACTAGGTGAACCGATTTTGATGATTCTTTTATACAATTCGTTCAACCTTTTATCCAATAATTTAAATTGAATAGGAACCGGAAAACTGGAATTTGGGTAAAATATAGTTAAATAGGCAAATATCATCGGTGATTTCAAGTTTCAACATCAACTTATTAAGCGACGACAGACAGGCAAATATAAGTAGTGTACTTATTAAGTACGAAATATTGTACTAGTGAAACAAAAACTAGGTATCATCATCATCATCATCAACAGCCTATACTAGTCCACTAAAACTAGGTATGAAAACCGTAATTCATCATAGTCCAAATAATTTAAAAGGTGCAGTGATGGAAATCATATGATGAAATCTTCGATCAATTATTCAGCTATTGTTGATCGAAGGATGAAATGATAAGTTTTAGTCACCGGGCACGTCCCAGCCTGCAGATATTAAAATTTCAAAAAAAAAATAATCCCATTTTATAGATCTCAATTAGCCCTTTCGACCTACGTTAATTAATTTATAAGCCCCTTTTTCGTTTTCCCAGGAAAAATAGAAATATAATTTTCAATTTTCCTCTACTTAAAATAGCCATATCTCTTTGAAAAATGATTATTTTTTACTCTACCAAGCGTGAAAAAATTGCCCTTGCGCTAATTTAATTTGCCCGCGTGCTAATTCTTAAAAATATTCAATAATTATTATTGTAAACAATAAAAAACCGTCGTGGCATTTCCAAGCCAATTATTTGCGCATTGCGCATGCGCGACAGAATAAAAGTGATACTCACATCATCAACTGCAGATCAGCTGATGCTACACGCACGGAAGGACTTTAAAAGTTATTATATTACTGTTTCGGGAAGTTTTTCAGTACTATTAGATTCATTATTATGTGCCTTGGTAGTTTGATGTGTCTTTACTCTTATTTCTAGGGAGTAGTCAGTAGTTTAAGTGTACAAATCATGTACACTTAGTGCAGATTTTCCATTGCAAAGCTGAGCTCTACGAAAACGTTTTTTCGACGACTTTCTATTAAGCGTTTCAAGACTTTACAAAGTAAACTTCCAAGCCAAGAGGAAGCAGCTAACTATTTTAATAGGTGTTATTGACTAGTCACGGAATCATGGAGATTTCATCTTTCTGCTGATTTGCTCCAAAATATATAGTACGTGTTGATTGGGCCTGTTTAAGCATACATACATTTTAAAAAAAAGAAAGAAATGTAAATATTTATTAATAAAATAGCTATGTTTTTTGGTTTATTTCATTGTTTCAATTCTTGAAAATTTTAATTATAAATTTACACATACACATCAAACTACCAAAGGCACATAACAATGAATCCAATAGTACTGAAAAACTTCCCGAAACAGTAATATAATAACTTTTAAAGTCCTTCCGTGCGTGTAGCATCAGCTGATTTCTGTTTGATTCTGTCGCGCATGCGCATAATTGGCTTAGAAATGCCACGACGGTTTTTTACTGTTTACAATATTAATTATTGAATATTTTTAAGAATTAGCACGCGGGCAAATTAAATTAGCGCAAGGGCAATTTTTTTACGCTTGGTAGAGTAAAAAATAATCATTTTTCAAAGAGATATGGCTATTTTAAGTGGAGGAAAATTGAATATTATATTTCTATTTTTCCTGGAAAACGAAAAAGGGGCTTATAAATTAACTAGCTGACCCGCGCGACTTCGTCTGCGTCTCTCAATAGTATTAAATTTACTCCGTTTTTGAAACATTCTTCATTGGTGCTCCGCTCCTATTGGTCTTAGCGTGATGATATATAGCCTATAGCCTTCCTCGATAAATGGGCTATCTAACACTGAAAGAATTTTTCAAATCGGACCAGTAGTTCCTGAGATTAGCGCGTTCAAACAAACAAACAAACTCTTCAGCTTTATAATATTAGTATAGATTAACGTAGGTCGAAAGGGCTAATTGAGATCTATAAATTGAGATTTTTTTTATTTTGAATTTTTAATATCTGCAGGCTGGAACGTGCCCGGTGTTTTAGTCACTGCGATTTCGCCGGTATTAAGTCACTACTGGGATTTGTTCATAGACAATAATAAATGCCATCAAAAACTTAAGCAAAGAATAAACCCAACCTATTATGTAAATTAGTCACAGATGAGATGATATAATTTGATCATCATATAATTTATAACAGGTTATTGTGATTTTATTATATTTAAAATAAAAAGGTGCATATTTTGACAGGTGACGTTTAGGGTTGGGTGTCTACAAAGCCATAGTGAGATTAATCGATTCAGATTACAAATGAATTTACGATTATCAATGTATATTAAACATCGTTAGTCGTTTCTAAATAGTAATACTTTTGGCTATTCCTTTAGTCTCTTTTTTTAAGAATTATGTGCCACTTACATGTTTTATACCACTACTATAGCTAAGAATACAATCAAGGATCAGGATCGGGGGTGTATTTCTCAGATTGAGCTGAGGGGACTCTCATTCTACATTCCACAGATGTAGAATTCCGCGGTGGCAGCTGCGGATGACATACGTACCACAAACGTTATCAAAAAAAATCGGTTGTCTGTAAAGTCGCTTTACTGACGATAGTTGAACGTGACAACGTCATAAGAAAATACTAATGGAATGGTTGTATTTTTCAAAAGAAAATTTTAATTTTATTTGTTAGACAGATGTCGAACGCTGCCGAACGCGGAGGCCGATTGTGCCCCTTTGTCGCTCGTTCCGTGCTCTCGCTTGCACTTCAAGCCTTAAATGGAACGCCTCAGAGCGAGGTAACGCCGCATGAGTCATGTTTTTTCGTGCGTGCAGCCGGCTCCATCGAATTATAAGACGTTGTCACGTCAAAAATAATGCACTAGAGTTTTTATGTGTCAAACGATTTATATTCCTGATGCAAGGGCAATGTTTTTTCTTTCATAGTTTCTTTGGATTTATAACAATTTATGAAAAACTCTTAATATCAATAGATATCATTGTAAAAAAATATACGAGTTCATTAGGACCAGATTTGCTAAATTTATAATTATGTACTTATAAAACGTTTGTTACCAAGTCACTATTTGTTTATTTGCTATATATATTATACCCATAGATGTGTTAGTATAAAATTTTTAACTAATTTTTAAATCATATAATTCTTAAAAATAAATACGAATTAATTTGTTCAGTTTTGTTTAATTATAAAAAGCATAAAATTGAGCTTAAAGAAAATAATAAAGCAATGTATAAAATATACAAAAATTAAAGAACGCATTGATAAAATAAATAACTGTTTAATTGTAATGAAGAGGATTGCTGGTTAGCAAGTCCTTCGATAATTTACAATTACAAACCACGCTATCACTTTACTAAGCTACAGTTTATATTGTAACGAACCGGGAATTTGATAAATAAAAGTAGGCGGTTCATTACCAAAATTAGCACTGTATTTATAAACACCTACTTTTACAAAAAAAAAAACTAAATAACTCCTTGGTCGCACTAGAAGATCATTTAGGTGTTAATCCGTTAATTGTTTCGGAAAATAATACTCGCCCGTACGGCCAACACGCTGCGCTTACATAGGGCTACCGAAATAACTAGAACAATCCCTAGGATTCAATAGAACGTTCCAAATAGATCTATGTGCAATAAGGAATTTCAATCAGCTGTAATCATCCGTTACTCGATCCTAGACAGCGCAGCAAGAATCACAATTATGAACCATCATTTTCTACGCAGTGTTCGTTGTGTGTTAGTAGGTCCATATTATATGGTGCTGTCCTTATGATTTCATACAGCTCTCGATTGTTTACGAAGTAACGATTCAATACTATGACGCAACAATATATAGGATCTTTACTGAAAGTAAACAGAATTAAAATATGATATATTACGGCATTTGAAGATTGGTGCAATATTTGCTGCCTCCCAAACACTTGGGAATAGCCTAACATTGCCTTTGGTAATATATTATATTATTGATTGCAAGGAAGCAGTTAGTTGTGTAGTGTATATTAGTGAGTCCTTTTTTTTCACGAACTTTTATAGTACACTATTCACCATATTGACTTGATTGATTGATTGGTTAAGAATGCTATTTTATAGAAATGGCAAAATGCTTAATAAAATTATTCTAAATGAAAATCTAACATCTTCATAATATGTCATGTGAAAACAACTTGGGACGTAATAATATTATCAAACTTTTTCATTTATAGCCTGTTTCAGGTGTAAGTAAAAAAAAGTAAGCAATTTGATGTATTTTGTTATCTTCCTGGTCGATTTTCATTCTTATTGTTACAACTCTATTTAAGTGTTGCTCATTTAGAGGTTTTACTCTTGACTTAAAGGTCTTAGTTACCAGGTCATTAAATCCCAAAAAAAAAAGAAATTGACGTTTCACTGACGCTATTGACAGATCAGCCGGATAATTCTCGTTTCTAAAAAACTTTAAAGAAGTATCAGTTGAAACGAAGTACTTTTCGCTCCTTGTCTACCGGTAAAATAACGGAACTGTACGTCAAAAAGCAAACAGTATTAGAGGATTTAGACGTCAGTGTATTACAATACATATATACCCGTGTGACTAATAGACATAACGCAATTGCTGCAACAGAAAAGTAACAATGATTAATGAAATAAATTGGTAATATTTATATACTGAATTCTGTGATATGGAACTCAGCAAGAAACCGGAAGATATGGATAGACCAACAGCCGAAGGGAACCTCTTAGAGCAACCTAAAGAGAAGATGTTACTAACGCGAAATCCACTAATGAAAGTAAGAACTTACGTACTTGCATTGCGCCCGTGGTCGCTTAGTGCTAGTTTACTGCCAACTCTACTGGGTGCTGCGCTCGCGTACCGCCTTCCTGGCGATACTGGATTCAGTTGGTGCACTTTATTTCTGACCCTGTGTACTGTAATCCCAGTCCATGGTGCAGGCAATGTAGTCAATACTTACTTTGATTTTGTTAAAGGAATAGACAACCGTAAATCTGATGACAGAACTCTCGTAGATCACATATTAAGTATAGATGAAGTTGTTTCACTTGGTGCTATATTGTATCTGGCTGGATGTGCTTCATTTGTACCACTTGTTATTTTATCACCAGCTCGCATGGAGCATTTGGCTCTTGTATATTTTGGTGGCTTATCATCATCATTTTTGTATACTGGGGGCATAGGGTTAAAGTACATAGCCCTCGGTGACATATTAGTTTTAGTAATATTTGGACCAGTGTCTGTGGTTTTTGCTTTTTTAGCTCAGACAGGCAGAGTTGATTGGCCTATTATTTACTATGCTATACCCTTAGCACTTAATACGGAGGCAATTTTACACAGTAATAACACAAGAGACCTGGAGACAGACTGCAAGGCCGAGATTGTAACTTTAGCAATACTTATTGGAAGAACTGCTTCATATTTGCTATATGCATTTCTATTATTTACTCCATATATTGTGTTTGTAGTTGCATCAGTCCGATGTTCCCTTTGGTTTTTACTTCCCATGTTGACTTTACCTAGAGCTTTCAAAATAGAAAGAAGGTTTAGAGATCCTGATGCAATGAGATATGTTCCGAGACAAACTGCTAGATTAAATTTCTATTTTGGCATGTTGTATATGATTTCTTGTTTGTTTGCTTCTCGCCTGCCGTTCCTACTCCGATGAAAGCAATCACTATTAAATTCTCATACACTTTCTTGCACATAGTGAACAAAAGAGCTATTCAGATCTTATAACGTTTTCAAGAACATGAGCACATGCTCTTTAATAAAATTGTTTATCATTTGAAATTTTACTTAACACTAGAACAAAAGCTCCATGTTGTTAAAAAATAATGTATCTTAGATTGTAAGTGCCTACCTACTATATCATGTAGGATATAAATTAAGACCTAATTAAGTGTATGAACTGAAGATCAAGCAGCTGTGTGTACATTTTTTTGTCATACCTTGGTTATAAAGAAATATAAATATTAGATAATATAAGCACTCCATCAATTTCATATTATGCCTGTGTGACAGATAGGTCAGAGATAATGAATCTTTCTATACAAATGCAAAATGTTCATGTTACGAATACTAAAGTGGAATATCAATTTGTACAAACATGAATTTGAAATATTTTTTATGTATCTATGGAGATATGGTGTGAGCAATAAAAAAAACAAGTCAATTTTTCCTTGTAAATGTTTAGTACTAAATAAATACTAAATTATGAAAAGAACTACCTCTTAGCAGTTGAAAATCTGCATTCAATTGTTTATTTAGATTTTAAATAAACTATTGATGTGGATGTTATCTTTTGTAATAATACAATGAAATCTCTTTATTGTGAATTGACAATAACTTATTTATTTTACTATAAGAATAATAAAATTAAGTTAAATATACTTTATTATTAAGTGGATGTGCTGTTTGTTATTCTGATGAAAACAATATATCGCCATTTATTTAATTTTATTGATATAATCAACGTAGGAGACCTCTATAATATAGAATCTTTATAATATATTGATAAATTACAAGTCAAATTATCATACAAGTGAGACCATGTAATTAAAGAAATGGATTTCATTTAGGAATGCCTGTCTAAGAACTACATTGAATATATTGGCAGTGACTGGAGAAGTGGTAGTTGAGATACATATTAGATATATATTTGTAATGCAGTGATAATATTCTGCTAAAGTATTCTTCTGCTAAATATTATTACAATGCATTATAATACTATCTTATTACTGGGATTAACTAATTATATGAAGTGCTATTCCCTAATTGTTATGTGACAATCCATTTCATAACATAACTAAAGTTTTAAAGGAACAAATCACAATGTATTAAACGATAATACAAAAATCATGTATTTCTAAACAAAGACTAACATAATATCACTAAAATGAATAGAAATCAAATCCATAATATAATTAAATACAATTTTCTAATTTCCATTTTGCACAAAAAATAAGAAGTCTTCAACATTCCATACAATACCTATAGATTTATATATTTATTATATTCTAACGTATAACCATTAGTTAAACTAATGCAGACTATCCATTCTAAAATTGTAATTACTTGCACACATAGTCATAACAGAGATTTCCTATAAAATGCACAAAGACATTCAGTTTACATGCTTCACACTAAATACTATATGTTGTGCTTGCTTAACACTCTTATAATTTAGGGTCAAGACAAAAACACCTAGATATTTAACCCAGGAAATATTCAAATGTCATGTCTATTGTCATTTCAATGTTTAGGCCTTTACATCTACCTGTGATATAAGATTCCTTAACATACTGTATTTAGCATTCCACTATGCCATACATGTTACAGATGTTAATTTAAATATCGTTATATTATTAATTTAGAATTAGTGACTATACATAAATGACATTATTTAGAATTTTATGTGCATTATTATGTTTAAGCATTAAAGTTGCCAAATACCTTATCAAGTAACTAATTTTGAGCTTACTTATAAAAATTTTCAAACTCCAAGGTGGGTTAAAAGGTTAAAAAAATTAGTGTGCCACAATAGTTCAATGCTAATTAATGGAAGATTTTTGTGACAACATTATCAAATAACATATTCAACATAATTGTACCGTTTAAATTAACACCTGTACATAAAAACGAACTTTTTGGTCAGAACGTCACATATGTTGTAGTTTCAACCCAGAGAAACATTGTATGAAATAACATACATGTAATAATCTCACATTCATGCATACGGACAAAAGTCCATCCAAGGCGGAAAAATCCGTTTGGTAGTCTTTATATATGGGTTACGTTATATACATCAGACTTTATTATTGGCCTCTGAGGCTTATGACGTCGAAGATTTCTTCTCACGCTGCCATTGGATGATTCTCTCTTTGAGTTCACTGGCTGTAATTACCAATTCTGTCATTAGTACAACACAAATTGATTGCAATCCTAATAAGGGGTCATCCATAAATTACGTCACACGAATTTTATTATTTTTTTACCTCCACCCCCGTCCTTGTCACAGCTAGTCATATTTATGAGACTCCCGTTCCCCCCCTAGCGTGACATCACACATTTTGCAATTTTACATCTAGAAATTATTAAAAAAAAGCTTTTAATTGTATAATACTTTAAATAATTCAAATTTCGCGTTTTGATACTTAGATAATATATATTGGGTGATGAAACGCGACGTCATACTTCTTAGGACCCCTCCCCCCTGAGACGTAATTTATGGATGGTCCCTAATAATCGAAAATAAATGGAAAGGCCACTAAGGAATCTCTTGGGCTGCAGGTTTCCATGGGCGGCAGTAGTCACTTACTATCAGGTGACCCGCCTGGGTTCCATTTGCACTCTTTTTTTTGTGAGGGGGTTGAAAATTCTATCGGATCTTCGGCTCCTTGGGGTTGCAGGAGGCAGGAGTATGTGGTGTTTTCACTAAAAACCACCCTGACGGCTGGCTTATGCACCCTACTCTGGGGAGGGCCCAGACGATGTGATTACAACCTTACCTGATTCACCAGGTAATGTTTCAGGACAAAGGGTTTGAACCCAAAGGAGAAATATTTCTTTACATTTCAATCCTGCAGTCTCCAGAGTGAGAACTTTCTCCTTCTCTTCAAGCTCTCTACTTGTTTCTATAACTTTAACCTCTTATAGATTTTAAACACATATGTTTATAACATCAGTAGAGGTTAAAACTTAAATATGTTTAGTTACTTGTAAAACGGTTTTGGAGAAAAACAAACATATTATCCTACCTGGACGTAATTGATCCTCTGTAAGAGGTTGTCGATTGAACGGATCGGTTGCACTGTTCAGTAAGTGACGTAGAATTACTGATCGGTCCATCACCTGCAAAAAAAAATTAATTCAATACACCTATATAGATTAAAAGTGATCACTACATCCGTCAGTTAAATGTCTTGCAACACCAAATTTAAAAAAGAAAGGTCTGCTGTATAAAAAGGCGAAAGCGAATTGTGGGTAAGACTACAAGCTTCAGTTAGTCGCAATTGTTATGAAGCTCTTATGGTTATAAAGATGATCCAGCAGAACTTATTATAATTGTAACACAACAAGTTTGAGTTTTGTATCGCTTAAAAGAGTAAAACAGACATAATATATATTTCTATACATTCAGGGGATTTCTTTTATTTTTATTTCATAAATATAACGTATGTATTATTTTATGGAAGAGGGGGCAAACAAGCTGACGTACAGAGTAAGCTCTTTTCTTGAATACCGGTATACGTTGCGCGCAAATTCAGTCAGTACAAAATTTCTCATGGTATTTGCGCGTCCAATAGCGGCAGTAAGTGTCAATAGTATCTTGACTCGCTTATACGCGCGAGTCGTTAGCGTAGCGTACCGTACGTAATTCATTTTGAACTCGATTATTTTTGTAGACGCTTTGTTAAGGCACTCATAACATCTAACCCAACGCGGGTATGACTATCTCTTATAGATTTTTAATACATCTTTAGTGTAATACGGATAGAACTTCAAATAAAGTAAAATATCTGTCGCTTTCAGTAAGTTAATAGGGCGGATTTATGTTTATTTAACTTTCATTCGAACAAAAATACCTTTTTTTAATGTTACATATTTTGCAGTTATTACATCGTGCACATTACCAATGAGTGCCAATTTATTTGCCAGATGTATCAAAATTTGAATACCATTCCTAAAGTTATTTAAATGTTACTGTTTAATACATCTACGCCATAAATATATCAAAATTCGTTAGAAGATCATGCTCTATAGCTACATATTCCTTTAACGAAGTAGATTATAGAATTTATCTTTTTTGTATATATGTTATTATGTATTAAGCATCAACATAAAATAAGTTAGTTCAATAACAGCTCTAATGCATAATCCATAATTATATCGCACATGCAGAGAATTTCATTTGTTAAGACTGAAAATTATGCTACCTTACCTTCCCAGATGGCAATAAAACTGGGTCTGTCATAAGTGTGTCCATGAGGGGGTCTCTGAATTCTTCTGGTGCATCAGCGAACTCATCACTTTTTTGCTGATTAGACACTGAAATATAGAATACAGGTTACATTCGCATGTTCTATTTTTTATTGTTTTAATTGAATCAAGATAAATTTATAGATAATTAATTTATATTTAAAGGCAATTTACATGGTCATCTATTTTATTTGACAACTCAGTGGATTATTTTTGAAAAGGGTATAAACTGCTACCACTATATAGCGAAAATATAATTAATTCACTGTAATCCATTTCTATAAAAAGGCACCTTCGATACTACTAATGTTAATGAAGTATCCTTCCTAATTGGATGTTAATGTACAACAAATAAATTAACATGAATATAACATCTTTTCTCCATTGAATTTGCATTGCTGTATATTTCAAACAATTTAGAGCACAAGCTGCACTGTAAACGTTTACTGTTACAAAAGTTCAGGGTTTACTTAATTATAAAATTCAGTGTAAGTGAGACATACCAACAATTTGATAGGCATTGTCTGCCACTGTCTTGAATCGCTCTATTTCTGTGGGAGTCTTGATGCACGACTTAGCGAGTCGGATTGCTGCTTCTTCGAATAACTCTTTTCGGAATGATCGCTGGAATGATAATATGAAGTTTATAAATTAATTGTTACAGCTACTTAATTTAGATTTTAAAAGTTAAATAACAAGATTTTGTAAGTAACAGCTTGAAATGCACCTTTTGTTCCAAAAGGTTCATTTGGAGGGGATGCCAGTATTAAGTGGCATGATAATATCAGGTCTTTACCTATGAAATTGCCGTTTTGTATGCAATAAGTGAAAGTACTTATTTTTTCAAACTTTTTTATTTCTGTTATTCGAAGTAATCACCCATGCAATCGACGCATTTTTGCCAACGCATTGGCAGTTTATTGATGCCCTTCTCGTAAAAATCAGCTGGACGGGAGGCAACAAACTCTTCAAAGGCATTTTGTACTGCCTCTCGGGAATTAAATTTTTTACCCACTAAAAAGTTGTCTAAATTTTGGAAAAAGTAATAGTCCGTAGGTGCAAGGTCTGGTGAGTATGGTGGATGAGGGAGAGCTTCCAACCCCAGCTCTTGCAGCTTCGAGACTGTCTGTTGCGCAGTATGGGGTCGCGCGTTGTCGTGAAGGAGCAGTGGGGACGACCGATTGACCAAAGCTGGTTGCTTGGTACTCACCAGACCTTGCACCAAGATATTTTCTCACATTCCTTTCATTTCGAACCTGTAGTTTAATAACTACGTTCGTTAAAAAATTACGTAACAAATAGATCTAACAACTACGATGCGAGACATTTTTTTCAACTAATATTTGTAATAGGATTAATATTTAACACCAACATTTTTAAGATTTATAATCAAGTCTTTGCGTGTATACACAATCATAGACTAATTGATTTATTTTTAGAAAATAAAAAGTTATACTTCAAGAAGGAAATTTGTTCGATTTATCAATTGTATGTAATTGAAAGGAATTCTTTAAAAATATTCCAATTCTAAGGGTTCAAATTAACGGATCAAGCTTACAGCTTAAAACATTTAGTATAATTTAGAATCACGAAGTCGATGATACTTTTTATTAAAGTTAATGGATTGTCTGGCAGTTAGCTAAATATTAAATTAGTCTGATTATATTCTAAAACCAATGATACCTCATCAGCTGCAAGTGCGGCGTGAAACTGAGGAGAGTCGAGATGTAAGTAGATATCAACTAGTTGACTTAGTAGCCTCCTTGGTTCCCATCCGTACTTTTCTGGTCGACGAACCTGTTAAATTATATGGTTAACGATTGTTTTTAATACAAACATATTTTTTAAATTTATGTTTACAGGTCATATATTTTTTAATAAATTCATTTAGATTAAAGTTTTTTTAGAACTTAGATACGTATAGTATAAGATTAGTAAACATAACAGCCCAGTCACCTTAGGAATTCAGCTCGGAATTTTGAATTTGATCCCTTTTTTTGACTAGGATGATTGTAGTATAACATTTTTATTGGATTCTCGTACAAACAAAGGCTAAACGTTAAGACGGTTCAATTTATTTTAGTAATTTTTAATATGTACTCTGACTATGACTATGTACTTTTTTCCTACTTCAAAAAATTCAAAGACACAAATCAAAAGAATATTTTAAGATTATCTACTTACTTTGAGGTTTTTACACTTAGGCCCACACAACTGTTGTAAGTTGAAGTTCAACATAGACGCTAGTCTATCAACAAGTTCAGCTCGTAGAAATGGCTCCTTAATTTCTACTGTCAAGTATTCCAACATGTCGACTGTTTCTCTAAAAAGTACAAATAAGAATTTATATTTAAAAAAGCATTTATATATATTATATGAAACGAAATTTCTACATAAAAGTTTGATCCTATTTAAGAAAAGTTTTTACAGAAAAAAGAAAGCTAAAAAAAAATATTATATTAAAAAATGATATTTTTAATACAATTTAGTGGTTCATTTTGTAATTAATTTTATATTAGTTATAAATTATGATGTTAATGTGCATTTCTTTTATAACTGAACGAGTACGCTGTTCAAAAAACTATATGTTTAATATGTGTAAATAAAAAATAGTAATTTTAATCTATACTTAATATTATAAAGCTGAAGAGTTTGTTTGTTTGTTTGAACGCGCTAATCTCAGGAACTACTGGTCCGATTTGAAAAATTCTTTCAGTGTTAGATAGCCCATTTATCGAGGAAGGCTATAGGCTATATATCATCACGCTAAGACCAATAGGAGCGGAGCACCAATGAAGAATGTTTCAAAAACGGAGAAAATTTATTACTATTGAGAGACGCAGACGAAGTTGCGCGGGTCAGCTAGTTGCAATATATGCAGGCCGTGGAACAAAAAGTCACTTTACTTTTTTTTACTTAAAAATACACACAATAGGTGTACCATTGTGTGTATTTTTACTACAATTTTAGGCGTGCACGCTTACCGCGCAAGCGTGAGGTAGGAGCGGCACTGGCGCTCGTCCTGCGCCAGAGCGCGCGAGCGCGCGTCGGACGACGAGCCACTGGCGCCCGCGCCCCCTTCTTGCGCCTCGTGGATGCGCTTGAGGTACTGCGGAACATTATTTTTTATGTTATTGACTTAACTAAAGACACGCTCCGGTTACACGGTGATATGTTATACGGCAGTATATATATTAAAAATAATATCTAACTGACGGTTATAGTTATTTTATTATGTTTTTGTCCTTTTTTTTATATTATTTTTCTCTCAATATATATATAGTGTATATTTCATATCACATTACAATAAATTATTGTTATTACACTTTTTAATATAATTTAATTTCCCTATTTTTTCTTTATTCTCCTTCTTTGGCACAGAGATAGATTTTAGTTTAGAAGAGCACATGGGCTACTTTTTATCCCGAAAAAAGTAGTGTAGTAAGTGTAGTGTTCTTGTGAGATGAGCAAAGTTTTTTTTATGTTAGAGGGGGCAGACCGGCAGACGAATCATCTGATGGAAAGTGACCATCGCCGCCCATGAACGTCTGCAACTCAGGAGTCACAAACACGTTGCCGGCCTTTTAGGAAGCAGTACGCTCTTTTCTTGAAGGTCGTATCGGTCCGGAAATACCAGATTGGTTGTGAGGGGCAAAAAGTATCTCGAAAAGCGCACAGTAGTGGAGCGCCAACTAACCAGGTGATGAGGATGAAAATTAATTTTGCCGTGTGGAACGATGGCGGAGAGTTGCGGCTGGTATAACTCCGAATAATTCCTCGGAGCATGCAGAGTGAAGCCACATCTCTACGTAATGCCAAGGGATCGAGGTGATCGGATCAGACGCTCTTCGTTGGATGATGTCCGGAGGGAGAAGCTGGTACTGAGGTGCCCCTGCATATAGATGAGAACAGTATTCCACATGCGGCCGGATTTGTGCCTTATAGAGCTGAAGGCGTGGGCCGGAGTGAAATACTGCCTCGATCTGTTCTTCTTCGAGGCCAATTTGACCTTACTCTCTAAGTGACCCCGAAACTGGACTTCGCTCGATATGTCGATGCCTAAGATTCCGATGCTGGCTGAGGCAGTTAGGGAGGTGCTCTCAAACCGAGGTGATACGACAAATGGTATCTTCTTTGCGGTGAACGCACAGACGTGTGTTATTTTTGGGTTGAACTGGACTAGATTTAGTCGGTCCCAATCTGAAACCTTTGTTTGTTTGTCTGCAAGTTTGTTTCGACTCTCGATGATGTTTTTCAGAGACATATTGGGGAGGCCGGTGTAAAGGGCATCTCCCGTGCTATCATCTGCATAGCAATGGATGCTACTAGTTTGCAACATGTCATTGACATGCAGAAGAAATAGTGTTGGTGATAGCACACAGCCTTGTGGGACACCAACATTTACGAATTTACATTTACGAAGCCCCAAGGAAGGGAGCATCGAGAGAAGCACTTTATGCCAGACCCGATCGAAGGCTTTCGCTATGACCAAACTAACCGCACAAGCCTCTCCTTTGGTCTCGATCGCCTGTGTGTTAGAAAGACGAGAAGATCACTAGCTGAGCGATCCCGGCGAAAACCATATTGTCAGTCATTGAGTAGCTGGTGTTCATCCAAGTACCGGAGGAGCTGACAGTTGATTATTATTATGATTCCATAATCTTAGAGAACACAGGAGTTATGGCTATAGGCCTGTAGTTGTACGGGTGAGTGTGGTCACCCTTTTTAGGGATCGAGTGCACAAACGCTACCTTCCAAGAGTTCGGGACGCGGCCTTGGGAGTAGGAGAGACGAAAAACGTGTCTTCAACACGATAGGAGAGATTTCATCGGGCCCACACGACTTATGACTGAACAACAAAAACCGCAACTAGTTTTGTATATTTTTATAAATATTTAAGTATATTTAAAATCAGTTTGGTACAGTATAAGCTCTGCTTCATAACAATTCAAAATGGTAGCTATTACTGATGGGTATACTATAATGATGTCTGGTGTAATGTTATGTTGCAGAATAAGCTCAAATTTAAAAAAACTTACCGTGAGGCACTCGTCAAGCAGGAATGTAGTATCATTCATCAACATGTTGATGAACTTGACGAACTGTCGGCCCGAACGAGACTCTTTTACTATAGCCTGTTGTGTATGTAAAAATATAATTTTAATAAGAAACATTTTTTGAAAGTTATTTTTATTTTATAATCAGTGTTGTAGTAATTAATACTGCTTTAATAACATAAGAAGGAAATCAGTAAGAGACTGCGACTAACTGAACAGAAACTAAATTTAACTTTTATTGTACTAAGTACTGCACCTACAGGGCTACATGGTGGCACTCGGTACGGTTCTTGAAGAAAATTTTCTCTCGACCGTATCGTCCATAAGATGAGCTTCCTACTGAGATGTACCTGAAGGATTACATTGTAGAAAGTACAGGTCTTGTGGGGTCGACAACACGGATGACAGTGTCCATAAGTTTTAAGCCTCTATAGACTACGGCAACCAGGTAGTTCTTGTTTGCCACCAAGATGGTATAAAAGAGATCTACACCTAGATAAAGTCCAAATAGTGGATCTTGAATAATTTTTATTTAATATAAGGAATGGTTAATAAATAAGAAATCCACTATGCATTATCATAAAAATCTAGTGCCATTACAATAAATGATGTTTTCTTACCTGTTTATGAATTGGTCGCTCCCACATTCCTTTCAATATTATACTAATGTGGAATCGAATTGTGAACTTGTCATAGAACTCAGTACTCTGTCCGGTTGTTTCAATGTCTGTGTAGAACTTCATTAGAGCACTGGGCAGAGACGTCTGTGACATGGGATGGTCCATAAACTTCTCGTATACATTCTTCAATTTCAACGGCACAGATAAGTTGATCACGAAGAGGACTTCAACGATCTTAGCGACGAGATACGGGTTCTTGAAGAGACGAGAGTTGCATATCGCAGACAACAACCAAGTTATTATAGGATCTTCTATGTAGTCTGCTACAATTTGTGGCACATATCTGTAAAATACATTGTAATACATTGGTTGGGAAGGTTTCCTCGGTTTTTACTATCAAAGAATCTAATGGTAAAATAAGGGTATTCTGAATTGCATTGCCTATCATCTTCAGCTTATCGTGGTTCACTGCTGGACATAGGCCTCTCTCATTGCACGCCACTTAGATTGATTTTCAGCTTCTCGCATATAGCCTATAATGACATTGAAATATTTTTTGACTTGGTCGGGTCGTTCGTATAGTAATATTTTATAATACACTAGTTTATTAATACTTGTTTACGAACTAAACATGGGATCGAATTTGGGGCCGTTCAAGTGTTACGTAAGCAGATTTTTATGAAATTTTTTACCGTCTTCTCCTCCTCGTCAGCAAATATTGCCATATGAAATGAAAGATGAAATCATAAATTTTGCTAATCATTATCCAGATCCCCCAACTCCCCATGTCATCATATGCAATGAAAGACTCCTTGCCCGTTTTAGTGCTTACGTAATACTCGAATGGCCGAAGGCAGCCGGTGACGAGTCGAGTAGTGGCAGTGAGTTTGTTTGCACTCTCTTCTCAAAAGGCTCAACCCCTCGGTAACAAGCGGTCGTAGATACGCACAGGCACGTAATAGAGTTTCGATAAGTATAATTTTATTATATTTATTAGGCTAAATATTTGACAAAACAGAGATTTTTGCTATCGTGTGTGGTGATCTCTGATTTTAGTCTAGACAAGAGACGATTACATTTTTTTTATGAAATAAAGTTATTTTGAGTTTAAGTAGGTACGTAGTGGAGTGGTAGACTCACTGCACGGCGAAGAGCATGAACTCCGCGATGTCCTCGACGTACCACTCGGGCGTGGCGCAGAAGGCGGAGCGCGCGGAGGCGTCGGCGCGCGCCGCCTCCAGCTGCTGCGTCAGCAGCGCGCACACCGACGAGTAGAACTGCAGGCTGCGCCGCATCAGTTCGCCTTCCAGGAGAGCCGTCTCCGCGCATTGTTTCGACCTGGCATAAAATATACGACTATACTGCCACCGCTCTAGCTTCTTTTAAAAAAAAATCAACGAACGCAAGAATTTATAACTTACGAGAGCCTAAACTTTGAAGAACGATAAATATCTCATTAGGCTAAAATTTGCTATGGTTTACCAGAACCCATTCACTTTAGTGTGGGCTAAGTGTTTTTAATTAATTACCTGTGTAGTCTTTTGATTTGTCGTCGCCAGCGTCGAAGCAATTCGCGGTTACGCAATGCAGAAAAGCTGTTACGCCACTGTGGTTCGGCAGCCATCAGTTCTTCGATCACTTTTTGAAGATCACGGAAAGCTCTGAAAATAAAATAACCGATAAGTTTATTACATACTCTTCCCACATAATTATAACACGTGAAATAATAACATGTATTGTGGATGTATTTAACTATTTATTATAAAGATGCATCATACCTTATTCGTCGTTGATGTGTGTGCAGTGCAGGTATTAGCGCGACGTGATGCATGTGAAGTGTTAAGAACCAGCACACTGTCTGGAACTTCGCCTCCGGCCATTTGTGATTAGGGTCGTTATCTATTTTGACAAAAAGTAATAATAATTAGACAAGCAATTTACATTTATTATTGTTAACCATTTCAAAGTGTGTAGATGTAACACTTACTTAGTGAATCTAGCCAGTCTTGCGCCTCTTGTGCTGTGAAATATAATCGCGTTTCATCGCGCACGTTAACCCACGAATCTGGCTGAAACGTGTACAGTGGGTAAACGCGCTCGAGTTTGATGCGCACTGAAAGTAACTGAAGCACCGAACATACGTTCAGCATGAAGCCGTCACCTGCAAATGTACAAAGTTAGACATATAGTGGTTGAGGGCTAAGGTTTATCATATAATAGGTCTTTATGACGATTCAATATTTTAAACTAGCTGATAACCACGACTTTGTTCAAGTGTAATTTGATATAAAAATGTTTATTTATAATATGTAAGTATTTAGAAATAAATCGGATTTTGTCCCTAAATTCAACGACTTTTTTTGCCGTGAACCCCTTTAAATCTTCGGCTAGAAAATTAGCCTACGTTACTCTTTATATAGTCAGGTACCTGCCAGTAAAATCTTATCAGAATCGATCCAGCCGTTTTGAAGATGCCAATATGTGCATTTGCATATTGCAAAAATGTTGAAGACTATTTACTATTACAGATCGTCAGTTGTTACTCGATATAAATTTGAAAATAATAATTTGAGCATTGTATACACTTTATGTCTTGACTACATTAATACAATTCAATTTAATTATTTACAGTGAATCATCAACAATTGCTACTTAATGATTCGAACTAGATCTTGGAAAGTCGATAATTTTGGACTGACGCCAAAACAAATTCGTGCAATAGACAAAAGCGAGGTGAGCGACATTTAAACAGAATATGTGCGCTATTTTTGCCAGACATTAATCGTAGGGATAAATGTATATGTGTATGTAGAATTTTATGAAAAAGTATACGATACGATATTCTTAATATATTTTACCTTTTATAATTTGCTGAATTTCAGTAATTCGTATCCTTTGACACATTTTTTGACGTTTAAAATTATTGCCGTCACCGGCTTTACACAGAATAATAAATATTTAATGACTAAATAGCGATGGTTACACAAAGGATATGGGTCAAATAAATGTTTATATAAAGTCCATTTTTATTAGCTATTAAAAAAATACTAGCAACTAGGATTATATTCTTCCAAAGAAGAAATGAACTTCGAGGAATGCGATAACGTTAAGAAGTGATATTAGTATTGCTGATTTTTTTAACACCAATATTTCTGTGACAATAATGTTTATACAATTATGCAAAACTCTCACAGATAAAGATTTTTGTTTCGGTAATATGAAGTAAGAAGGAGAAGGTTTCTTTATAACGCGATAGAAACTAGTTAACTCACCGGCCAGAGATCTCTCATCCGTTTGTAGTTGCGCTCTGCGTTCATTTCTTTGCAAGAGTGCGGCGAAGTAGTTGAGCAGTGGTTCTCTCGCATCAGGACATAATAGAATGTTGTGGCAAATGTTGTGCAACGTATTGCGACTCACTTCTACCTCGCGTTGTAAAGCGAACGCGAGGCTTCGATCACCTGACCCCGTCGCGAATAGACGCTCTGCCAAACGGGGGTTTTCTTCCGCAAATAATGAGATCTATTTGATAGAAAATGAAATGGAAATAATATAATTCGACGTTTCTATGTTAATATAATAATGTGTATGTTGTATTATATACAGCTTTTCTGTATGAGTTATTACGCTAGGGACCCACCTTAACTTACGTCACAAGTTTAAGGAGTACATCTCATAAAGTGTAACTAATGTGACACTATTTTGACTGTTCAGATCATGTGAACTTGATGTTTACATTGTTGTATTGGCGAGGTCTCGCTAGCAACGATGATTTTAGAACTGCTATTTAAATTTAATCAGGTTCCGGTGCAAAGCAAGAAATAAGACGTAACATACAGTGATAAAGTTGAGGATTAAAAAATCACAAAAATCGTGTGACGTAATTTATGAATAGTCATCATTAAAAATTATCATTGCCAAAATTATTATGTCATGGAGTTATTGTGATGTAGTTTAGCTCATTAAACTTTTAAAATGTACGCTACGGTGTAGTGGGGTTTGTAGTCGTTCTTAGTGAGGTAGATGGAAACTAGACGAACTACGAACTAAACAAAATCTTAACAATATTTATTTATGTATGTTTTCGTAACTACATTATTCTAAGCAAGTACCACAGTTGTTATATTATCTGTTTATACGGTGGACGCAGAAATAAACAAATATGTTAATAGTACAGAGCTATGGACGTACAATGAATATAAATGAATCACAGAATTCCAGTGACAAAATATCAATGTTCTATAAATAGTGCAACAAAAGTATCACTTCAATGCTCGATCTGACTTATTTAGATGAAGATAGACTAGATTTTTTTATCATTAATAGGCAACAATGGAAAAATACACTTACACCAAAAAAGGGTCCGAGGAAACTGACTCGGGCGATTTCTCTTCCGGGGGCGGTCGTGACTGGGTCTGGGCACAAGCTCGGCAGGCGAGCGATCAGCTCGGCGAGGGGACGGCGCGCGTGGCGCGGGCCGGCGCGCAGCTCACACAGAGCGCGCAGCCCGCGCAGCGCCGCGCAGCTGCCGCCTCCCGACCCGCGCCCGCCCAGCGGCGACACCGCACGACGCATCTCTTCGCGGATCCCCATCACTAGTGGTACGAACACCTGACAGAAACAATCGTCTATATTATTCACCGCCTTTGATTCCTACATCTCTGCAGCCGTAAAGCATCACTAGACTCTCATTCCAATGGCTGTTATATCATATAAGACTTTGTCTGTTGGTCGAAAGGCAATGTTTTGTTTTATTTCACTAACCAGAATAGTTCATGACTGCATATACTGACATAATATTAACTTTGCCTGATAGGTCAACATATATTTACTGAATGTCTTTAGCTATTCGAGTCGTTTTTCCATAATTTAAAAAGAAAAAAAATAGCTGATCCAATTTTTTTATTGATATCACTAAAACTTGTCCAAAGCTACAAATTAAAGCGACAACAAAGAAAAACCGTACACAAATGTGTGAGGAAATGGTTCGTAACTGTTTTGTCTTGCCTTTTAATATGTATTTAGATATAGATTATTATATACTAGCTTGGAAAACATATTTTAAGGTATGGCTTCAGATCTTACCAAGAACGGGTTAAAATGTCACTAAATCATTATATTGTTTGCACCCAGATGGAGAGCAAACAATCAATTCGAATGAGCGGGTCGTTAACGATACAGGCGGCTTTAAGTGACCAAGGCGTAATCACGTGCAACGACACTGTCTATACTGACCCTCACAAGATAAATTAAATATAGAATCTTATTAATACCTAATGCGGGGGTAACATAGCTATTTAGCTTATATGTGAATAAAATCAATGTTTGCTTGTTCATACTTCATGCATCGCCGGGAATATTGGTCCCTGGAGTCCCTGACAAGGCTTAGTACTATAATTTAGGCAGACAGTACCATGCAACAAAAAATTAACTGAAAAATCAATTTTCAACTGTAGTGGTGAACAAAAAGATTTTTTTAAGCTTATAAGTAATTAATTTCTCATATACTATTGCTATAATTAATGTGTTGTAAAATATATAAATAATAATTCTTAAAGTATTTTTTTATAATGATAAACATTTGGTTTTATTCACAGAACTAATACCTAATATTGAAAATTGTGTTGTAACATATTATGTAACTGTTACTGCTGTTAAAATTACATAATATAGATATAACGTTTGACTTTTCAAAAATGTAGTTAAATTTGGACCATGAATAATAAAATATTTTAATTTTTGTTTTATTTCAATTTGACAAATTTGTAACATAAATCAAGTTGTCCCTTCCTAGTATAAGTGAAACTGTCATTGAATAGACAATTAAGATTTGCAAAAAAATACTAACCTCCTCAAAAACATCTTTATTGGTATAGGTGGCGAGAAGCAGTTCTGGAATTAAACCTGTTGGTGGTGACACTACCAATACATATGGAAGTAGAGCGGATTTTCTACACTTCTCTAGGTCAAATTTGCATTGTAGCACTAGCACTAAATAATTCACCAGTAAAGTTCTTAAACTTTGAAGTAAGTCACTCAATGGAGGCTCTGAACTCTTCTTTGAATGATCTCGTTCATATGTATTTATGTTGGTGTAGAAACGCACTATGTAGCTAACTGCTAGTCCTTGTGTGGGAATTGTTTTGGGTAGTGGCAAAGATGGTGTGGGACAATCTGATTTGTCAGCGTCTGCTTCTGGTGCAACTTGTCCACTTGTTAACATTTCATCAACATCTTCGGTTAGTCTTTTAGTGGTTTCAGTGATTGCAATTAATTTTTGGTTAAGGGGATCTGAACCCTCTGCTATTTGCGTAATAACATCTATAAGCGCTTGCGATGCAAGATCATCTAAACTCAGTTTAGGGTTATCAAGAAGAGATGCAGCGACTGATGGCACAAAAATTCCTCCTGTAAATACAGAAAATGATAAATTTTTATTAAAGGTTCAGCAAACATCAAAGCTTAGGCGGGGGTATTTTTCTATATTGTATTTTGTAATTGTATTGTTCTTGCTCATCTCACGGGCACACATTTTTTTTTTCAGGATAGATTTTTAGGAATTTTTCAGGATTTTTTCGGGAGAAACTAGTCTATGTGCTATTCTAGACTATAATCTATCTTTGTGCCAAATTTCATCCAGATCAGTTTAACCATTTTTGCTAAAATAGTAACAAACATCCATATAAACTTGCGCCTTTATAATAGTAAGATGTTAAATTGGTTTGTGTACTCTTCAAAAAACTCAAAAGTGCTGCATTGAGTTGAAATTTTGACACACAAACCACTTCAAAGACAGTTTTGATCTATTAGTTTGCGTCAGTTTTGTACTTCATTTCTTATCAACACAACCACAGCAAGGCATGACAGGACAGTTTTGATCTATTAGTTTGCGTCAGTTTTGTACTTCATTTTTTTTCAACACAACCACAGCTAGGCATGACAGGATACAGCTAGTTCTTTATATATATTTTTTTGAAATAATATATCCCGTGTCTAGGGGGACTGACCAACATACATGAAATGGACACAAAGAACAGCCAGACTCAGAACAACAATTTGGGGATTGAACCCACAACATTCAGCTTAGTAGAAAGTGGCCCACAAGAGTGTGTGAGTGGATTGGTGGTGGAAAGTGAACCACTACGTCATCCATGCAGTCAAATTCAAGTACATATCATTAAAATAGCCTTATACTATGGCTATTCTTTAAACACCAACAGCAGATATTTGTAAATGGCCATCACATGTTCATGTATAATGTATTGTATTTTTATAATGCTAGCTGTAAATATCCTAAATAGAAACAAACAACATTGCAAAAGATGGTTGCATACACATACAGAATACAATATACAAGATTACTCTAGCTAATGTCTTCTGTATTATGCTGCAAATTGACCAATTGACCTGCCCTTTTTGAACCTCATTAGATCACAAATAGCAAAAGCGTTACTTCTACTAGTTTTTTTCCTTACCCTCCCACTTCTCAATTCTATTGCATGAATGTTTTTTTTAAGCATAATTTCTTTTTTGAATAAATCTTTTTGGTATCTGAGATTTCGTATTTAAATGCAGTAACACTGATGTACAAACTGCTTAACAATAAGCAGAAAGTATGTACATATGTATTCATAGGGATGAGTCTCATACTACAGAACTAAGTACTAAGAGGAATTGTTTAAGTATAACAAGTTGTCAATCACAATTATAAAGAATATTCATAAATAATTAAATTTATGGCACATTAAAACAATACACATTTTGCTCAGGGATTAAAAGCGACAATTGAGGGTAAAATCATTACTTTACTTTTATATTATTTAGAGGGTAGTGCCAGCAATACTACAGTTCTTTTAATAGTTTAAGTACACTTTACATACATTTCATTGTTGAAAAATTAGGGAGTGATGGATAAAACTACTTATAAATAAGAATAAAGAGCTAAGCTTAAAATAATGTATTATTTATTAATATTGAAAGGAAAACTTGTGACAAATCTTGATAATCAAAAATTGAAACTTTATATACATACCTGCACTGTCCTCTGACCAAGACACTTGTAAGATCTTAGCCACAATACTTCTCAGTTGTTCCTCTGTCAATTCCGTACAACTGACTGTTCGTGACCGGTGAATCTTTCTTGCTGGTGATGCTTGAGTATCACTGTCATCCACCTAATAGAAAAACCATAAATGGCTTCTATATAAATACTTTATACTTTGTTTTAATTTTTACAATAAAGCTTTATTAAAGGTTTGATTGATTGTGAAAAATGACTACTCTCATATTGTTATTGCTTCATAAAAATTGAGCAGATTTAAGAAACAATTACTAATAGTTCCTCTTTTGTTATATTTATGTATTTTAAGGTAAACTAATAATATATTACTGACCTCCATTGGCTCTTGCTGCTGTTCTGATTGTGAATTTCTTTCGGATACATCATCAACATCCATGGATAGTGAGCGTCGTGAGCAACTAGGTGAAGCATTACTAGGCCGTGGCCTTACTGGTGAAGGTTCAGCAAACTGTGCAGGAGATATTGATCTTGAAGTACTATCTTCTCGGGTAGAGGCCCCTTCTGAACCACCAACTGTTGACTGTGGTAAACTAGATACCCTCACTGATCCACAACTCAGCAGAGTATCTTCCCCCATAGAATCAAAGCTGTTGTATTGTCTAGTCTGAGATAGATCTGTCATTTTAGTGTCAGGCATTTCATCTAGTAGATTATTATCGGGTTTCTCAGTCACTATTAATGCATCTGCTGGAATCTTAGTCTGATCTGTTTCACTGTTTTTGACACTATCTGAATAGTCAGTTTCTTTGTTTGTGTTAGCTACTTCTGGTGTTGTGGGTTCTGTGGACCCACGAGGTAGTGGTGAAGAAGAAAACCGCGGTTGAGAGGAGGTCTGCAAGTCTGGAGAAGGCATTGAAGCACCTGGAGTGGCTGGAGGACTGGCTGGTGATGGTGCTGACCCTGCACCACTGAGCGCAGCGAGGCGCGCCAGACGGCGCCTCCGTATCTGAAAACGATCAACATGAGGTCCTGATGCACATGCATGTACTCTATATACGCAACAACGTTAAACATCAACGCTTTGTTTTGTTACGAAATTAGATTGGCCATACGCATTACGCCAAGGTTCGTTTACAAAACAAATTTTCAACTTACCTCTTCCTGACTCAGCTCACTCATAATGAAGAATTACTACTTAGCACTTTGAAGAACCGTGTTGAAAGCACTATTCCTTTCAATTTAGTTTCAAAAATTTAGATGAGAAAAATGAAGAGCAAGCCACACAACGGCGAGTCAGTCACCTCGCTCAGCTGTTTGACGTTTGTGGTTGGTAGAATGACGAGAAAGTATTGAAAATACACGCGTCATCCTATCCGAACACTAAGCTTCTCATCTAAGCATAAGTTGTAACTGTCTCTTTCTTGGAAGGTTTAGTTACGAACGAGTGAATGAGAGAAAACACAAATGATATGAAGGTGTTCATTTGTATACAGTCTGTATAGCCCTGTTTATTATGTATACTACAGTTTATTAAGTTTTATGAAGAATATTTTATTATATAATATTTCAATGATTTTCATAGTTACTACCCTCATAGTACTTCTGTTGTACCTCATAGTACTTGCAGAGTTTTTTAAATTCTCGGGTGTAGAAATGTACAATTTTTATATAGATTAATTTAAAATTAAAATAACACATTTCGTTCTAAAATGTTTCATCGAATGATAAGGTTTAATACATCTGGAAAATGGATTGATACATGAATAGTATCATTCATAAACTATATTACATGTTATGTTTTTTTCTAAAAAGTAAAACATAAAATTCAATAGGTAAACGATAAAGTTCATGCGTGCTTTTCTGGACGAAAGGTATGTGGTCAATGGCCGCATGTATTGGTATTTTGTTTACGTTTGGATTGTTATAAATTTGCAAAAAATACTTCGTGCGCTTTCTAATTAACAGTTTTGAAACTATAAAATAATGTTATATTGAAATTCAGTTTCATAAGAAATACATTGTACTGATGTAACAATGTAAACGTTAATTTTCAATTTCATATTATAAGAATGTAATCCTTTTGATAGTATTATTATACAATTCATTGTACAATTGTACTTGTGATAAGTGTTAGAAGAAAATGACGAGTCTTCAAGTGAGTGAGATGGTCTCCGGGCTGAAGTCTCGCCATGCGGAGACTAGACATAAAGCGATTCGAGAATTATTGCATTTCACAAAAACAGATCTTAGAGAAATGTCCCCAGAGGTATTGACGCAAGTACTGGATGATTTTAATCAACAGATACATGCATTAACCTCCAGCTATGACAACAACGAGAAGAAGGCAGGGATTTTAGCCATAGGTGTGTATCTTATAGGTTATATTGCCCTGATTACTTATTACATTATAAAGCATAAATTTGTCAGTAAAATAGATTTACTTTTCACAGAACATGTAATATACTATGAAATATCGCAATATTTTGTAATTTTGTGTGTATTGACATTCACCAATGGAAATATTCATATTGTTGTATTCCTTTCAGTCTGTTTGATTGGAGGAGATACAGAAATATCAAAAGCAAGAAATATCCGCTATGCATACTACTTGAGAAATGTTTTCCCTTCTACTGATTTAAGTGTTTTAGAATTAGGAGCTAAAACTATGGGCAAACTTGCTGTTACTCTTGGTATCAAAAGAGTTGAATATGTAGAATATGAAATAAAAAGATCATATGAATGGCTCTTAGAAGAAAGAAATGAAGGAAAACGACTATCTGCAGTTTTGATATTAAGGGAATTGGCAATTTCTATGCCATCCTATTTCTTTCAGCATATAAATGGTTTCTTTGATCATATTATGGTTGCTCTTCGAGATCCAAAAGATCAAATTAGGGAGGCTGCAGGCAAAGCATTAAGGGCTGCTCTTGTGATTACTGCTCAAAGAGAAAATCCTGAACAAAGCAATAAGGCTCACTGGTATATTCAGAGCTACGAACAAGCCGTGATATCTTTCACTGATCAGACTGGAAGAGAAAGAAGTCTCAGCAGGGATGACCATGTGCATGGTGCTCTTATAATACTAAATGAACTCCTAAGATGCTCAAATGCAACTTGGGAGAAAAAGTATACATCTTTAATGCAAAAGCTGGATTCTGAGCAGGAGTTAAATGATGAAGTACCCTTAATGAGCTCAAAGCTACAACGCTCTTGGGCAGCTCAACAGTTTCACAATGATAGGGGTCAACATACAGTAATTTATGAATCGAGTATTTGTAAAAAACTGATTACAGAGATGTATGAGAAAATTTGTTCAGGTTAGTATCCCTACAGATAATTTTTTCACTAAGTTTCTGGCCTTTTGCAAATGTTAGTTGTGATTTGATCTGAGTCTTTCGAGCTTAGCTATGGGGACCTAAATTAGTTAATTCATAAGAGTATTCTATTCACCATCAGAGCCATACTTGGGCATGCATAGGCCAGCCTGACCTTCCGGTCTTGCTGATACCTCATGACCTTACAGAAATTCTGAGTTAAGTAATTCCTGCATTGCTTTTCACAGGCTGGTGAAGTTACCAGAGGCTCGAACTCCTCCCCCTAACATATAGGGAAAGAATCCAAGTGTTGCAACACACTTGTAACTCTTGTGATGCCATGACTTACCATCAGATGACCCGTCCGCTTGTTTGCCCCCTATACCGTAAAAAATAGTATTCCAATTAAATTGTTATCTTTTATCACAACCTTAGACAGGTATATATATAATGCATGTTTCATAGGCGTTATCGATGTTTGATGTAAACTTAATTATAGTATGATTTAATCATCGTCATTGCCATGTAACGAAGTGAAGTGTAAACTTTACTATGATTCGGACTAAACTACAATTTGGCTGATTACTTTATTAAAAAAACATTGTAAAATATACAATCAGGCGTGATTTATGGCCATGCCATAAGGATTGATCTAATAACGCTAAAGCCATATGTCGTAACGTGAAATAGAAAATATGTGAAAATATTGTCAAACAATCAATATTTTTCTGTTTTCAGATGTCATGGCGCAACAGATATCGCGTGCTAACAACGTCCACCAAAAACTTCTCTTAATGATACCAAGATTAGCTGCCTTTGACAGGCATGCATTCACCAAAAAACATCTCAAGTCTACTATTAATCATTTAATAACCTTTTTACGAGGTCGAGAAAAGGAGAAAGCAATGGCATTCACCACATTAGGCCTTATTTGTGTTGCAGTAGAGACTGACGTACTACAATATTTAGAAAGAATCATAGAAATTATCAAACTGAGTTTACCACTCAGAGACACCCCAAAGAAACGTAATGGTACTGACACTCCATTATTTAATTGTATAACTCTGTTAAGTTTCGCTATGAAAGAAGACGTTGCTAATGAAGTCAAAGAACTACTAGACCCTATGTGTGCAACTGGTTTGAGCCCACAACTCACTACATGTTTCAAAGAACTTAGTCTCAATCTGCCTACTCTAAAAAAAGAAATAACAGATCGGTTACTCAATATGTTGTCATTAATATTGCGAAAGAAACCATACACAAGTGGTAGTACATGCTCTGGTTTCTTTGTTGGAAGCAAACAAGTAAATGAGGAAAATCAAATAGTTCACATGTTTACTACTGCTATGTTGGTTGAACCCCATGATGCTACCAAGCTGGTGCTAGCTTTACGCACACTTGCCTCATTCGACTTTGAGTGGAACAACACACTAATGTCTTTTATAAGAAGGTGTACGGACCACTACCTTCTAAGTGAACAACATGATGTTAGAATAGAAGCTGTGAAGACTTCTGCAAAATTATTAATGAAAGCTGTTGAAAGATGTGCTCAAACAAATTCTCGAACCCTAAATGTTATAGTAGATGAGTCTCTTGGGAAACTGCTGTCTGTAGGCCGTTCAGATTTTGATCATGAAGTTCGATACCGAGTGTTAGAATTGTTCACAAATCCCGTCTTCGATAGATATTTAGCCGTAGAAGAACACCTAAATTGTCTATTTGTTGCCATCAATGATTCTAATAATGACGTGAGTGAATTAGCTCTCTGTATAGTCGGAAGGCTCAGCAACCTAAACCCTAGTTACACAATACCAACATTACGTCAACTATTTGTACAAGTTTTAATGGAATTACAACATTCTGAATCAACACGGAATAAAGAACAGGCACTCAGAATGATTAACAATATTATTTCGCACGCTCCGAGGATTACACGGCAGTTTGTGGATACTATACTCAATGTTCTTGTACCAAAATTGAAAGAAGAGGCTAGCAATCCTACAATGGTTTCCATAATATTGAAGGCTCTAGGTGATCTTGCTGAAGTGAACGGTGGTGGAAATGCCCTCAATCAATGGCTACCACAACTTACGTCTATTCAGATTGAAATTCTTTCCGATCCTAACCAACTGGAAAAGCGAAGTGTGGCTCTTTGGTCTTTCGGTCAAGTGGTGAGCGCGACTGGTCACGTAGTCTCGCCTTACATGGAATATCCACATTTAATGGACTTGCTTTTAAACTTTTTAAAAACAGAACAGCAGACAAGAGAGAGAAGTGAAACTATTCGCGTCCTTGGCTTATTAGGAGCTTTAGATCCATACAAACACAAAGTTAATCAAGGACTTATTGATTTTCAAACAGTCTCAACTTTGATTCCAGCAACAAATGCCTCAACAAATGATATTCTTGATACCAACATAAATGAAATGGTAGTTAACATGTCACCCCTTATTCTTGACGAATTTTATCCAGCAATTGTTCTTACATCATTGATGAAAATGCTTCGCGACCCAATGTTGACACAGCATCACACTAACGTCGTACATTCAGTGACAGTTATATTTCAGACTCTTGGCATAAAATGTGTGCCTTATATATCTCGAGTGACACCAAACCTCTTATATGTCATAAGAGCAACAGACAATAGTAACTTCCGTGAATTTCTGTTAACTCAGCTGGCGCAATTAATATCCGTTGTGAAAATACACATTCGAAATTACTTGGAGGATATATTTGATCTAATTAAGGAATATTGGACACCCAATAGTAATTTGCAATCTACCCTCATAATGCTAGTTGAACATATAACAGTTGCTATTGGAACTGAGTTTAAAGTCTATCTTCGGAAGATACTACCTAACATTTTAAGGGTACTGAAGTATGATAACAGCAAAGATAAAATGTTAACGGAAAAACTATTATTAGCAATTCAGAAGTTTGAAAATAATCTGGATGATGTACTGTTGTCTATAGTGCCTGCAATAACTAGCCTTTTTGATGGTAGGAATATTCCGATGTCTATTTCCAAGTTAGCTATGGAAACTATTGGACATTTATCTATGTATTTGTACTTTAGGCCTTACTCATCCGTTATAATTCAGGCTCTAGCAAAAGTTCTGGACAACAATCCGATGTTAAGACCCACAGCAATGAACACGCTGTGTGCCTTGATTGTGCAACTTGGGCGCGAGTATATCGATTACATACCATCTGTGGATAGAATATTGATAAAACATAAGATACAATGTCCTAATTACATTGTTTTGGTGACGAGGTTACAAGCTATATCCACATTGGCATCAGATGACAATTACTTGGACGAAACTCGATTAAGGTTAAGGAACCAAAAGACTGATGTAAGTAATAAAATGTTTCTCAGTTATTTTGCAAATAAAGTAAAAAATTTAACTCAACTTTTTTGTGGGTATTATGTCAACTTTGGTCAAGTAGAGTTCATAACAGCCAAATTTTTTTTACTGCTTTTAGTTTCCTAGATAAGAATAAGACGAGTGGCCGCAAAGTAAGATGATTTTTCATACTAAAACAAATCATAAATGATGCACATATATTTACCAAAAAGGCATGAATAAGCTTTATACATATGTAAATCATTACCATTCATGCAACATTGATGCTAAATTCCTGTTCATTGTGTTGTTAAAAGTTTTTTTTTATAAAAAGGATTACAGGGAGAATTGTCGTGTATTTCATAATAATAGTGATTTTTAGCGTGGTCTTGGTGATATGCAAACTATTCCAAAATTGACTTTGAAAGTGCAAAACTTAAGAAAATGCTGGTCAATCAATAACGTGATTTCTAAAGAAGATTGGATGGAATGGCTTAGAAGATTAAGCATTGGGTTTTTGACTGAATCCAACAGTCCGGCTATCAGGTAACATCATTTATAAGTCATCAGTCATAATACATCATCATCAATATATAACTCTTCAAATAGAGTAACATGTTAACAGATCTATTTTTTTTATTTTATTTTAACAGAGCCTGCTCTTCTCTTGCACATAACTACCCGCAACTGTCAAGTGAACTGTTCAACGCAGCACTTATGTCGTGTTGGACGGAGCTTGATGATGGGGCTCGAAAAGAACTTGTTGTAGCCCTTGAGAATGCCTTAACGGTACCCGATACACCTGAAGTTTCGCTTGCTGTACTGAACCTAGCTGAGTTCTTAGAACACTGTGAAAAGGGCCCTTTGCCTATACCTATAAAATTACTTGGCGATACAGCAATTACCTGCAGAGCTTATGCAAAGGCGTTATATTATAAGGTAAGCTAGATTATATTTTAGAAGTGTAAATCTATCTTTTGGTTCATCCGCCATATTCAGGGTCCTCGTCCTATCATTTAAGAACCTATATTAACCAATTAACGGTGACAGCAAACAGCACCTAATTTTACTTAGATCATAGACATATGATAGGCGATATCTTAAAATTACCATAAGCAGTAATTTAAACGTTGAAAACTGTTTATCTTTATTTTTAGGAACAAGAATACAAAAGAAACCCGTCCAAACAAGTTATAGAATCCCTAATACACATAAACAACAAACTTCAAAGAAAGGAGACAAGTAATGGGTTACTGGAGAAAGTAATCATGCAAAAGAAAAATGGCGATACTTCTCTAAATGTTCACGCGCGGTGGTATGAAAAACTGCATAATTGGGAGCAAGCTTTAGATCTATACAATAAGAAGTTGGAAATTGAACCTCAAGACGATGACTCTCGGTTGGGGATGATGAGGTGTTTGGAAGCATTGGGAGAGTGGAGGAAACTATATAATATTACATCTGAGCAGTGGGATACGATGTCAGAAACCTTTAAGAAGAAGTCAGCTAAAATAGCCACAGCAGCATCTTGGGGACTACAGGAATGGGATTCAATGAAAAAATATGTCAACTCTGTCAATGAAGACAGTCAAGAAGGAGCTTTTTACAGAGCTATTATTGCTATTCATGAAAGCCAATGGTCAGAGTCCAGGCATTATATTGATTCAGCCAGAAATCTCTTAGATATTGAACTGACCACCGTTGTTGGTGAAAGCTACCAAAGAGCATATGGTGCGCTTGTCAATGCGCAGCTCTTGACCGAATTGGAAGAAGTAGTGACATATAAATTAGTTGAAGAGAGAAGAAATCCGATACGCAAATGTTGGTCCAGAAGACTGCAAGGGGGTCAAAGATTGGTCGAAGACTGGCGCAAAATGCTCCAAATACGCAGCTTAGTAATGTCTCCGCGCGAAGATTTCCAGACTTGGCTTAAATTCGCATCATTGTGTAGAAAAATGGGCGCTATCAATCAAGCTCAAAAAATAGTTCTCTCTATAATAGGTTGCGATCCCATAACTAACCCTGACGTGTTGCTTCGCATGCAGGATCCTAGAATCGTACTTGCTTATAGCAAAAACTTGTGGGATGTTGGCAATAAACGTTATGCTTATGATGTTCTCCAAAGATTCGTAGATAATTCCGAACCTGACAATGAGGAACAATGTCGATTGTTGGCAAGATGTCATCTTAAGTTAGGATCTTGGTGCGAGTCCCTTCAAGAAATCAATGAGTTGTCAATACCTGAAATATTAAGAAACTACGCAGCAGCTACCAATCTCGCGCCCGATTGGTACAAAGCGTGTCATGTTTGGGCTTGTATGAATTTCGAAACAGTTCTCTTTTACAAACAGCAAGACAACATATCTGAGAGTAGCCTTGCTGGAGGTTCTGGTGAGAAAAAAGTTTCTAGAGCAGACTTTATTAATACATATACTATCCCAGCTATTGAAGGGTTCTTTAAATCTATTAGTCTATTAAATGGCAGTGCGCTACAGGATACGCTTAGGTTGCTGACACTGTGGTTCGATCACGGCCATCATCCGACTATTTATGACGCTCTATTTGAAGGAATTAGGCAAATCGATGTTAAGATATGGTTACAAGTAATACCTCAACTGATAGCGAGAATTGATTCCCCAAGAAGCTTGGTGGCCAAACTGGTTCACATATTGTTAATAGATATAGGGAAATTACATCCACAAGCTTTAGTGTATCCTTTGACTGTAGCGACAAAGTCATCATTCGTAACGAGGAAAAATGCTGCTAGTTATATTTTGAAGACTATGTGCTCGCACTCACAGAACTTGGTCAACGAAGCTGCGGTAATATCGGAAGAACTTATTAAAGTTGCTATTTTGTGGCATGATCAAGTTTTCATAGCGCTTGTTGAAGCTTCTAGGTAAATGACGTCAAACATTCTCAAATACATATTTCAAAATAAAATTTATTAATAAATATAAATAAACTTTAAATGTACAATGTTTTCTAGGTTATATTATAGTGAAAAGGACTGCAGAGGCATGTTTAAAACCTTAGATAAAATGCACACAATGCTGGATAGGCCTCCAGAAACATTAAAAGAAATCTCTTTTCTCCAAATGTACGGCAGAGATTTGCAAGAAGCCAGACGTTGCTGTGAACAGTATAAAGTAAGCTACTGGAGACGTACACACCTTTGAGCGAAAACGCGCACGAGTGGCTTTTGTCACTCCCATCCGGTCTATGTGTATGTATGTATGAACTAAGCCAAAATGTCACTATGTTGTCAGGTTTTGACATGTGCTAATCTTCATACATAGACCGGACGAGAGTGACAAACCAGTCATGGTAAGAAAGCGCTCTCACTCAGATTTATCCTTTTCGTAATATGATGATGTGTCATAGTCGTATAGGATCTTAGTTTATTTATTATATTACGTATAGAATAAATCTTTCTTGTGCTTTATAATATGCATCGCATTTAGTGTAGTTACGATGCATATATAATTCACAACACAGTATGTTTAAGAAAACAAAATAGACAATCAATTCATGTTCCCTAGAAAGTGGTGTAACTGTAATTGATGGTCTCTTATCAAATTACGGTTACCAATTATCAACTGCGGTTAATTACAAATTCTTCACTACCTTTAGTATTCGGAATTAGTTTTTAATTATTTTTATGTTCTTTAGGAATCAGGTGAAACCCGTTATTTGAACGAAGCGTGGGATCTATACTACCAAGTAGTGCGTCGCATCGAGTCTCAGTTCCGCTCACTAACGTCACTCGAATTGCAATACGTCAGCAAGAGGCTACACACATGTAAAGATTACGAACTGGCTGTACCGGGCTCATACGTACCAAATGAGAAAGTAATTAGAATATCGCACATACTCAGTCATCTACAGGTAAATAAGTGAAATCTATCATATCATAACGTTTTTTAAAAAGAAAAAAGGGCAGTTCTGATAGTAAAAAATAACTTACAAAGTCTGAATTATTATTTACATACATAAATAGGATAGACAGACATATTAAGTGTGTAGACATTTTGTCAACTACTTTAGTCCCACGTTTCGTAAAGAGGAAAACATATTACCGCCAACCAAGCACTTTAGGAAGTACTTGGACAATTGGGACTTAGAGCAGACTTGAATGGATTTAGAAAAAACCGCACGCCGTCTAGGGTACCAGTTGACGGGGAACCAGGTGTACCCTAGGAAAGAAATCCCTGATACCCCGACGTACCTCAGGCAGTCCTTAATTATTCCCTTAATTGACTATGGTTATGTGTGTTATTTCGACCTGAATGCAGATCTTGTCTTCTCAATAACTGCATTCGATTCGTTTTTAATCTTCGCAAGTATGACCACGTGTCTGCTTTACGTTCTCATCTGCAATAGCTCCCAATTCGTTAGCGCCCCAGTTTGCGAGCACTGACTTCTCTTTTTTCTTTTCTCAACTTTCCATCGTTACCTGAATACCTCGTACCACACTTCCGTTCCTTATGCTCCAATCACGACCGGAATCTTCGGTCAACAAACGAAATGCTTCTTCTTTGCCCCCCTCACACCTCCAACTTCATAAATTCCTTCTTCTACGTCCAGTCTATTCTTCTTTGGAATGCGCTTCCTGCCGAAGTCACGATGTCAACAAACCGCCTTGCATTCAAGACGAAATGCGCGATCTTCTTCGGAGTTAATTGGCAGAACAGCCACAACGCTAGTACGCGTCGCGTACGCGAGTATTTTTGTATTATATTTATGTGTGTATGTTTATGCATGTATTTGTGTTTATATATTGTGTATAGTTCTAGAATTCTATTATGTAAAATTTAATATTTTATCTTGCACCTACTGCATCATATTTCTACATCACCTGAAGGTTGACTGGGAGAGAAAGCCCCATGGCATTAAGTCCGCCTTTGTGCAACATGTGCATTAGGTTTTTAATAAATAAATGATATAGCTGACAGCTTTCAACTTACAAAAGGTATTACTTTCTTAGGCATTTTTAAGCCGGTAAATTTACCAGTACAACTGATATTTTATATTTATAAGACACATTGTGGTTATCAACTCTCATCTCTCTCTGTGGACTCTCTTCTGTAGGTAATCAAATCAAAACAGCGTCCACGACGGCTCACAATCCAAGGTTCAGATGGCAAACAGTACATGTTTCTACTGAAAGGACACGAAGACTTGCGTCAAGACGAACGAGTAATGCAACTATTCGGATTGGTCAACACACTCCTACAAGCTGACACTAACACGTACAGACATGATCTAGCAATACAGCGTTATGCCGTCATACCGCTGTCTCCAAACTCTGGATTAATCGGCTGGGTGCCTCAGTGTGATACGCTATACAATTTAATCAGCGATTATAGGGACAAGAAGTCAAATAAAATGGCATTAAATACCGAACAGCAAATCATGTTGCGTATGGCGTCTGATTACCAGAAACTGATGTTAAAACACAAGGTGAGTTTAGCAGTAAGTAGTAAGTTTTCACTTCACTAGTAGAAGGTACGCGTGGGTCTTCAACGTTACATCTTGCACACGAATAAAATTGGGACAATGTTGATATGGAAAAGTACGTACACACTTTTACAGATTTAAGAAATCCAGTTCCGTCCTTGTAAGAGTAGGTAACTATTTTGTTTTTATTCTGGTATGGCCTACTGTGACCGTGAAGTTAATAATAGTAATGCTAATTATAATGAATTAAAACTTACGACTGTATTATACACTTTTGTAGATAAAGGTTACAATAATACTGCATACAAATATAATCACGCCTGCATTGGCGACTCATATTTATAATCTTTGTTACGTAATAGGAGGCAAGTAAAATTATTGCTACTTTTAAATCATAATCATAAGATGAAATAATTGTTTATAGTCACGTTGATTTCACATGTGATTGTGATTTGGTCATAGAAAAGATAAATGCCATCAAAATCAATCAAATTTTTTTTTAACAATGATGGCGACCTTTTTTTTACGATTTAGACCCTTCCCGACCACCCCTCATCCCGTTGGTGTCTTAAGAGCCGACTAAGGGAGCAAACTGCTCAGGACAACAGCACTGCAAAGAGAAGGAAAACTTGACACAAACCCTAAAGCAACCCGTGTGGCCAGCGTGGTATAGTAGGCCAAAACCTCCTTTCTAAGCAGAGCCCTTTGTCCAGCAGTGGACTATTAAAGGCTGTTGATGATGATGAGACCTTTCCCGGGTCTGGCACTAGCGTAATAATAATAATAAGTCGCAGTGGTTTTGTAAATTAGTCATAGTTATAGTTATATGATTTATAAATCATATGTTTATCACGTGATTGTGATTTTGTTCCATCCCTAGAGGCAAGCCTGTGGCCGTCAACCGGGTACTTTAAGATGGGAAAATTGGGAGTTCAATATGAAAAAGAAAAGTTGATAAGATGGGAAGGCAATGGTAGAAAAGGGATCTTTCTTCTACAGATGGATTGAGGAGTGTAAGCAATAGCCCGAGTAGGTCAGGTCGTAAACCTGATTGGTAAGGGGGTGAGGTTGATCGATGCGTCACTATTGTCTTAACGCGAATGGACTGTAGTCACGTAACTATTTATTAATAATTAAAATTCAACATTAACATACAACAAGTAATTTACTGATAACATCAACTGCAGTATACCATTATCATGTCTAGGTGGAAGTATTTGAACACACGCTGTCACAGACGCCAGGTAACGACCTCGCAAGACTTCTCTGGCTGAAGAGCCCCTCAGCAGAGGCCTGGTTTGAACGTCGAACTAACTACACGCGTTCATTAGCTGTCATGAGTATGGTCGGATACATACTCGGCCTCGGAGACAGACATCCTTCAAACATCATGCTGCATAGAGTATCTGGCAAAGTTCTTCATATAGATTTTGGTGACTGCTTTGAAGTAACTCAGACAAGAGATAAATTTCCAGAGAAAATACCGTTTAGATTGACTAGGATGTTGATCAATGCAATGGAGGTAAGTGTTTTTTTGTGTAACTGTTTTTTTATTAAAATATTGGATTCAGGCCTTGATGGTGTTCACTGCTGTACACGGTTGCATTATACCAGTTTGTTTTAAAAAACAATTAAAGGGACCTAAAAAGAACATTAAAAAAATATTGCGAACGTAATTTTAACGAACCGGTCTTTCATATAAAACTGCCTCATTCGCTTCTTTCTACCTTTTAAGGTTATAAGGTCAAATAGTTTGCCAGATTTCGTATTTAATGAGTAGGTGAGTAAGGGCATTTTATTTTGTTTTTATACGAGTATATAAATTAGTTAAACGGTTTTAATTCTCATCTCTTCTCTTTCGAAGGTTGCCCCATTTTTCTAAACCACGACTTTAAGCCATATTTTTTTTTAATTAGAGAAATTTAAGTAAGAATGAATTGGATAGTTTCTCAAGAAAAAAATGCCAATACCCATTTCAAGAAGAATCTCTTATCGCTTACCCAGCCGGTGGCCATTGTTCATCAAGGCCGTTTCATTTTACATTAAGCACGCACGTAAATAAAATGAGTACCAATTAAATTCCTGTACAAGTATTATGGTTAATAATGACAATTACATACTCTTTAGCTTATCCTACCTACTTACCAATTAGTCAGAAGATAACCATGAAAAAATTTGTAAGCAAACACAAACATCAATAATAATATGTAAATATCAAAACATGTCGTCGATGTTAGATTGGCGTAATTCAATCAATTACCTCCTACAGAACTCGGGACAATGCGTCCCCTAAATAAATAAACTAAATGTATATATTTTTATTTCTTTCTTCAAGGCCCTTCTTGATAACTATGAAATTAACATAATTTCTGAGTTTTATTTGTTCGATAGTGCGAGTAACTATCTGATTAAGACATATTCTCAAAATCATATCTATAGTTTAACCTCTTTTTTTGTTCAGAATACTTATTAGTAATTCGGTTTATACATCACTGGTATTATTTATAAACTATCCAACCGTGCTAAATACTTTTTAGTATCTTAAAGATGTGTGATTTTAAATGGTTCTTTTGATTAATAAACAGTTTCTCACTTACTTGGGAACTGTTAAGAACCAAAACTTTGATTCTTATCAAATCATCAGCAATAGTTTTTATTCTCTAATTATCTTTGTCATCAATATGACTATAATCAAGTTTTATCAGTTAGCGTTTCTAGTTTTATTAGTTAGCGTTTTTAGTTGACTCTAACAAAGAAATATGAACAAATCGCTAGAATTTGTTGTTGTAATCGAGGTGGCGAAGTAATTGTCTTGAAGCATGATACACACGCGAAATAAACTACTGTCAGAACAACTTCTACTAATTTACTTAACTGAGTAAGTCTTTGTACGCATGTAAATGGCCGACCAAACCTATTTTAAAAGTTATACTGTGTCATTATTAAATAATCAAAGCAAGCATGCTTCATGGGATAGCCATGCTCCGGTATATTTGGGCCGTCTAGACCGGAGTGGTCCCACGGCCTCAAAAAATATGCGTATATCAATATTTTCGTTACGGAATTCGTGACTGTTCAGTTGCAGGTATCCATGGGCAGTGATAGTCACTTACTAGACATGGGACAAAATCACAGTGAACTTTATATTTCATTATTTGACGAGCCCGTTGGTCTAGTGGTTAGTGACCCTGTCTGCTCAGCCGGAATTCGATTCGGGTTCGAATCCCACCCAGGAAAAATATTATGTGATGAGCACGGTCATTTGTTCTGTGTCAGGGTGTGTAACTTATCTATAATATGCATTTATTTAAAAATATAAATATGTTTATCATCAGTTTGGTTACCATAGTACAGGCTCTGCCTAGTTTGGGATCAGACGAGCGTGTGTGAGATGTGTAAGATATATTATATTTATTATTATTCGATTTGCGTACGTAGGTTAGGGTTGCCAGGTAGGTACGCTATTTAACAGTAAATCTAGTATTTTTAGGGTTCGGTACCTCAAAAGGTAAAAAAGGAACCCTTATAAGATCACTTTCTTGTCCGTCTGTCCGTGTGTCACCACCGATTTTCTCAGGAACGGGTAGACCTAGCAAGTTGAAATTTATACCAGATACTTAGGTCTAGTGTCCTTATTAGGTATATAAAAACCAAGGTCCTGAGTCAACACAATGAAAAGATATGGGTAAATTTCGATTTTCGCGAAAACTTGTAAGTACCAAAATTTACCTTAATTTTCAACTTTTTTTATTTTTCAGAATTTGACTTTACTGTAAGACCTTATACCTTTATCCGTGTAGTGACGGATTAAGAATACGGAATGTCACTACCCCTATTTATCCCGTGGGTGTCGTAAAAGGCGACTAAGGGCGCAAAGCAATGCAGGACACCAGCACTGCAAAAAGAAGGAAAACTTGACACAAACCCTATACCAACCCGTCTGGCCAGCGTGGTATAGTAGGCCAAAACCTCCTTTCTAAGGAGAGGCCTATGTCCAGCAGTGGACTATTAAAGGTTGTTGATGATGATGATGATGATGAAAACCTTGCTTTTACTTAAAATTGACAATTCTAAGTCAACCGCAAGTACCCCATGGGTTTTGGGTCGAAAACCTATAAGGTAGTTCCCGTTCACCTAGAATCACGAAATTTGGCAAAAAGAAACGTACATACAAATAAAGGAATAATTCCAAAAAATAAAAAAAGCTGAAATTGAGATAAATTTTGGTACTAACAAATTTTCGGGAAAATCTACGTAAAATCTGGGTAGGTACGGAACCCTCGGCGCACTAGTTTGACTAGTATAGGCTGTTAATCGTTTATGGGGGGCAGTGCCCTAATATATCATTGATTTACAAGTGGCATGGTCTTTTTAAACATGGCCGGGCTTTGATTGAAGACGACCCCCGCTCGGGAAGGCCTGTTGAAGCCACCACATCAGACATCATCGAAAAAGTAGAAAAAATTGTACTGGAGGACACCCGTTTGAAGAAAAACAGTTATCAGCATTAGTTGGAGTATCAGATATCATCATTTTGCGAATCCCACATGACCACCTGGGTATGACAAAAATCGGTGCAAGATGGGTACCGAGAATGCTCACGCCGCTTTAGAAACAACAGCGCGTCGATGCGTCAAAACAATTTTTTGAGTTGTGTGCAGACGGATCAGCACAGATTTTGGAGCGGATTGTTCCGGAGATGAAACATGAATTCATCACTTTGAGCCTCAGTCCAAAAAAGAGTCCATGCAAAGGCATAAAAAGGGTACACCAGCGCCAAAGAAATTCGAAGTGTCGGAGTCGGCTGGAAAGTTGATGGCTACTGCTTTTTGGGATTGTTAGGCGGTAATACTCATTGATTACAAAGAAAAGGGAAGGACCATAACCGGAGAATACTACTACTGTATGATACTAGAGAAATTAAAGGAGGCCATCAAAGAAAAACGTCGAGGAACATTGACCACAGGTGTATTGCTCTTGCAAGACAACGCGCCGATCTACAAGAGTTGCAATGGCTGCTCTGCATAAGCATGGCTTCGAAACACTGGTCCACCCACCTTACAGTCCAACTCTGGCCCCAAGTGATTTTTATTTGTTCCCCAATTTAAAAAAAGACAAGGGGAAGGAAAATTTCTGACGACAATGAGGTAAAGGAGGCAATTTTAGCTCATTTTGAGGCAAAAGATAAAAAATATTTTTACGATGGTTTAGAAAATTTAATTAATAGATCTGATAAATGTATTCAGCTTAAGGGTGATTATATTGAAAAGGAAAAATAGATTTATTGTTTCATTTTATTTAAAACCCTTTCATTCCACGTACTTTTCGACCTCCCCTCGTATGTATGAAAAAATCGAATGATAAATCACCGTTCATTCACAGTTCACTGTGATTTTGTCCCATGTCTATCACCCTATTGCATAAAAAACCTTTCATTGTGGTTATAGTTACAACTCGATGGGTATATAGCTTTTTATGAAAATGTACTCAAACCATCATGAAAGAGTCCTATTTCTATAACGGATATAAAATGCGAAAATATACGTTATTTTTTACTAGTCGTACATACATACAATCGTTCTTTTATCCCCAAAGGGGTAGATAGAGGTGAAATAAACGCCCGCGTTTTGGCAACCATAATTTTAGTCCTACTTAAATAGGGAGCAAGGCTATTGCTGAGCTTTAATAGTCCCGTCGAGTGACCGTACTTTATATGTTCAACGTACTGCCAATTGTTTTGTTTACTGAACCACTTGATCTCGCCGAGTCACCTTAGTTTACAGTAATTGGGCCATCTCACAACTGTTAATTATTTAATCTTTATGATTTTGCTCGAATTAGTTGTGGATTAATACGTCCGTGAAATATCGTTAATGGATAAAGTTGTATGTTGTAAACCTTTGACGGGCCTGTTGGTCTAGTGGTAAGTGACCCTGACTGCTGACAACCGGTGTCGTGGGGTCCATTCTCACCCAGGAATAATATTGTGTGATGAGCACGATCATTTGTTGTGTCTGGGTGTCATTTATATATATTATGTATGTATTTAGAAATATATAAGTATGTTTATCAGCAGAATGGTTACCCTAAAACCGGCTCTGCCTAGTTTGGGACCAGACTGCCGGGTGTGAGATGTGTAAAGCTATTATTATTATAGTTATTATTTTTTGCCCAAGAAATAGGTATGGTACTTCGATTGAACAAGCCCAACCGCGAGGCGTCTACTAGCTAATCAGACTCGATACCTACACGTATACTACACGGATAACTTTGCCCTAACCTAGTAATATCTTGTTTTATGATTATCATCAACAACCACAATATTTCTAACATACAATAAATAATTATTTAATTAAGGTAATAAAAATTCAACGAAATTCATTTCATTCAATAAAACTAACATCGTTGACATTTGTTACATGCTGTGATTGTTACCCTGCAAACGACTACGTAAATTTTGGAATGCTAATGGTGCTTGTAACGTTTTAATTGGGATATTATATTCGTTTTTTTTTCCAAATACAGCTTTAAACTCTCTCAGACTCTCTCTCCTCGTAGGCCATGGATTTCTATTTCCATATAGATTTCAGATGCGGATTGATATTTTTATTTATTTATTGGGGTAAAGGATGCAGACGACCGGATGGTGTAATGGTTTGTGTAACGGACTGTCATTCCTAAGGTCGCGGGTTCGATTTCCGCTCTCGTCAAACATTTGTGTGCATGAACATTTAATGTTTGATTTAGTCCGGGTGTTTGTATCTATAATATGTATGTATACAAAACAAAGGCATATGTATATTTATATCAGTTGTCTAGTACCCATAGTACAAGCTCTGCTTAGTTTGTTATTGTTATTCTATAGAATTTTTTTTTTTTGTCTTTATTAAACATTTATAATACATATTTTTTCATGCTTAAAGTCTGCCAAACTGTAAAAACAGTTTGTCGGCAGTAGTTCTCGTTTACGGATACATAATAATATAAATGTAGGTATTTTAATACAAAATTTGTTAACATTTCCAATTATTGTGTCAAGTACTCGTATACTAGTAGATTATGTCTCAAAAGTAATGAAACGGGTAATGCGGGTATTAGCTATTTGTTATGGACATAACGAGAGATAATGTTTGTGAAGTTTATTTTTAAATTGAAATTTTGTCTGTACCTGTTTTACAAAATCTGAAGGCAATTCATTGAGTAGAAACGGTACCATATAGCTTCTTCTTCGTTTACCGAAGTAGTTCGTGATCTTCGGAACGACAAGTTTCCTCTTTTTGGCTAGACGGGTACTATTATAGACGGGTATTATTATTCTCTTTATTACATTATATATAAATATAGATTACTTTTTAAATATGTATATTACAAAAGAAAAAAGAATACATTTAAAAATACAAAAAATAGTAGACCACTATGTATGTGTTACTAACACATGCCCTTGTAGGAAGTACGAATCTTAATGTCACGCATAGTGCAACACATTTAGCCAGCTGCTAACTTTTTTATATTAAAATATCATTCATAAAGATATTCTTATTTCATTATACTACATATTACTTTATATAATTTAAACTCTATCTTTTAACTTTACAGTTAAAATTGGCTTAGTCGAAATTGTGATTTAAACTGACGAATGAAGGCATCGATGATACGTCTAGGTGTTCACGACGTGTTGTTAATTGATGAGATCGTACTAATTAATTTAGTGGATTTTTACATGAACCGTCTATTAAATCGAGTCCATTGATGGTTGATGAAAAGTCGATCACATTATTGAATGACGCCGGTCGAATTAGTTAGTGCGTTCATTCAACTGTCATCGATACAGTACACGGCTAAGAAGCATTCTTGACTGAGGTCAGAGATGAACGAGTCTCCGCATGATCTCCACTGACCGATGGATATTTATTCATGTTACGTCCGCTACGGGGATTTACGACCGAAAGCATTCTTGACATATGATTTTTATTGCTCGTGACTCTTTGCCTTCATCGATCACGCTAATATGAAATCCGTTATCGGCGTAAAAATGTCCATCGCCTATATCCTTCCTCAAGAATCAAACTATCTCCATACCAAATTTCATATAAATCGTTTCAGCGGTTATTGATTCCCCATACAAACTTCCACCCCTCTTTTCACCCCCTTAAAATATTATTTCTGAGCCAAAAATTATCATCTGTCCTTTCGCGGGACTCAAATTATCTCTATTCGAAGTTTCATCTAAATCGGTTCAGCGGTTTAAGCGTGAAGAGGTAACAGACAGACACTTACGCTTTTACAATATTAGTACGGATTGAATGAGTTATCGATAAAGGAAAATGAGATAACCTAATCTAACCAAATTATTTCATAAATATTATATTATGTAACTTCACATAAGGTATCTGCATTTTTAATAAAGTATAGATAAGTGATATATTTTTATGTATTTAGATAACACAGAAAGAATAACAATCAACAATAATTCCAATGCATTATAAAAGGCTTTTCGCAAAATTGTGGCCTTCACAATAAGCAAACTATGGAAGTGTGGATCTGTTAATTTAAAATATTTGTTTCCATAGGTGACGGGCATTGAAGGTACATACCGCTTTACGTGTGAGTCAGTAATGCACGTACTACACAAGCACCGCGACAGCGTGATGGCCGTGCTAGAGGCCTTCGTCTACGATCCGTTGCTCAACTGGCGCCTCGTGGACAACGAACACCACTCACTTAGTGAATCCTCTTTCTCATCAGACATTGACTCCTCATACACATTACCAAGTAGAAGTCGCAACCATTTACATTACGAATCTCTCGAAATACCAGCAGAATCGAATCTGAACAAAAGAGCCTTGTCAATTTTGAACAGGATACGGGATAAATTGACAGGGAGAGACTTTCCTCACGTAGAGGCTGTGGTAAGCGTGCCTAAACAAGTGGATTTACTGATCAAACAGGCGACGAATAATGAAAATTTGTGTCAATGCTACATTGGCTGGTGTCCTTACTGGTAGCCAAGTGAGTTGTACAGTTCTACGCTAAACAAAAAAGTAGGAAGTAATTAGTAATATTTGATAGTTGATATTTACTTCCTATTTTTATTTGATAGGCGTGCGAACGCCAGAGGTTCGATAAAGACTGACTGATTAGGAAAAAAGCTAAATTATGAAAGAGTTCAAGGTTTTTTTATAAGTCTTAGCATCTAGAAATATTAAAAGATACGCTATAAGCGTTACAAAGTGACCTCGTATATCCAATTGCAAAAGGGTACCTATGTTTACAGTAAGACGCATAACGTTACGGAGTTGGTAAAGCACGTGGTTATTTCGCTGGCACTATTGTATCCCGATCTCTATATCTTTTTTAGCATTTCATACCTTTTAATACAAGTTTTCATAATCATTAACTTTTTTTATTGAAGCTAGCCGCAGATAAGATGTCGATTTCAAATAATGCCATTCGTTGATTCTTGTTTCCGATCTGAATGTCTACCCTCCGCTCCTCTCTTTTTATCCGTCGGCCTTATTAGAAATCAACCCTTAAGTTACAAATTAGCTTAAAAGACGCTGTACGTTATTGGCCTTTCTGAATAACTTAATATATCAACCAAAATCTGTTTACAAAAGCGCAATTACGGGAACACATCCTGTGTTCCCGTAATTGCGCTTTTGCACACAGAACTGAGAACATGAAGTTAGAAGTACACACAACTGTATTCTGTCTATTCTGATCATTTATCGCTAGTTTACACACTTCAACTGTTATCTTTGAGCACGTAAGCCCCAGAAGTTGACTTTGTACAGACGTATTGCTAAGTTTTTTTTTATTGCTACGACTAATGTTTTATCTCTATTTGCACCATTAATATAAAATGATATAGTCACCTGTATAAGACTACAAGAAATATTTATTTTATGTTTATAAGTATTTAAAAAGAGATTAAGTTGTAAGTACTCTAAGTTTGTAACACTATAACATTTTTATATTGCAAATTACGAGTTTTTATGTCAGATTTGTTTAGTTATTTACATAACTGCGCATTTTACAAACACGTTCACTTTTTAAAAATTGTTTCTTTCTTACATATCTCTATACTCGTACATATTGTAGTTGTCTAACTATTAATTAACTCCACTCTCAGTATCTGACTTTGTTTACCACCCAATTATAGTGCGGGTAGAAAACCTTTATTCCGTCAGTCACAAATACGAATTTCAAAATAGCGATTTTCATAATTCGGAATGGTTCAAAATTCCTAATACAACAACTCCGATTTATCATTCATCCTATTTTTATAATTAAAAAATTACAATATTATTATTTATAATACCGAGTTATCCGAGTTATCCGAGTCTTATTTATAATATCCAAATACCGAGTTTCAATAAATCGAATAACAAAAAGTCCGACTTAATAATATTTCGAAACATCAAAACTTCGAATAAAAACATTATTTGGTATAAAAAAATTCTAATCTAACCCAAATGATTCACCATCAATAGAGGCGGCGGCCGCTGCTGCGGCACGCTTCATGGTCGCAATTCTAATCTAACACATATGATTCACCTACAATAGAGGGGATCTGGCGTTAATCGTCACTGTTCTAACCTAACCTAACGAAAAGAATTCATAACAGTACATGGTACCCGACGCATGTACATATATTTAAGGAGACGAAGAAAACACAAAAAATATTAATAATAAAGTAGAAGTTTTTAAATTACATTAAACGTTACGCTCGATCCCTTGGTGTTACGTAGAGATGTAGCTTCGCTCTGCATTCTCTATCGCATATTTCATGGAGAGTGCTCCGGGGAATTGTTCGGACTAATACCGGCCGCAACTTTCCGCCATCACACACACGTACACGGCAAAATTTTCATCCCCACTACCTGGATAGTTGGCGCTCCACTACCGTGCGCTTTTCGAGACACTTTTTGCCTCGCACTACCAACCTGTGGAACAAGTTATCGGCTGCGGTATTTCCGGGCCGATACGACCTTCAAGAAAAAAGCGTACTCCTTCCTCAAAAGCTGGCGACGTGCTTGTGACTTCTGAGTTGCAGGCGTTTATGGGCGGGGGTAGTCGCTTTCCATCAGGTGATCCGTCTGCTCGTTTGCCACCTATTCCATAAAAAAACTGAATATTATAGTCTCTGAACCAGAATTCTAATTTTAGCAGTTGATTCGAAATATTGAAAATCGGAATGTCGTTTTTCGGACCGAGAACCCATCGAGCATTTGATTCTTCGAACGTATAAAGATCGGCAAATAAACAAATCACATTTATGTACGACTTTCAGTTAAATTAATTTCGTGAATTTTAATAATATACTTAGGTATTATGAAATTCTTATTTTTGAAAATCGGAACTCAATGTTCCGATTTTCAAATTCGCAATAAACTATTTCGGAGTATATGGGTGTTCCCTTAGTATAGTGCACATGGCACTGTAGAAAGTTACGGGTAATAAAGTGGAATGTATTCCCTTTATCTTTATTTCTAATCCTTGCCTTTGCTGATTATTATTAATTGAATGTTTTGCACTAAAAAGTTGCCAGATTGTAAAAGCGATACTGGGTGGTGGTCTAACTTTTATTGAAGGTTTATTTGAGCCCCTAGAAAAGAATTCTGAGGGAAAAATAATTTATCTAATATATATATCTACTCGTAAGTATATAAATTAATTTTTCTTTTAAATCATATAAATAAAATGAAAATGTTAAGTGGCAGGCAGTGGGGTTAACGAGTCCTTGAGTGGAGACCGCGTTTCAGCAAACGTAATGTAGGACGCCACAGGCCAGGTGGAGTGACGATCTGCGCAAGATGGCTGGCAGGAGCTGGATGAGAGAAGCCCATAATCCATCGAAGGTGCGCGCAAATGGAAAGGCCTATATCCAGCAGTGGACTGCGATAGGCTGATAATCTACGTATAAGGCTTTTAGTCAATTTCTCGGTGTTTCATTTATTTTGTAAAAACTTGATTATTAAATACAGGTAACATAAAGAAATATTTTGAAACTATGATATCTGAGAAGATATTTTACTGCTTTTTTTAAATAAAAAATGTCTGAGAAAACGTAAATTATACCTACCACCACCCCGTACCGCCAGAAAAGTAAAGTATATGTTTTTTTAGTTCGATTATTTGTATTGTGTATAAGCAAGCTCACAATAATCTTCTCTGTAAATATTCTTTATAACTAAGTACTTCATATTAAGCGTTGCCGTTACTATGTGTATACCGGTCCTATTCATATATATATATAAAAGTATGTAAATATAATGCGCAATAAAACTGTTAAAGCCTTTCTTTTATTTTTATTTTAACAACACGACATATATATTATCCTTTCTGGCGTATCATAATCTCACATGATTTATATTAAATGCAAAATGCAAGTAAAATACATCCAATCTAAAATATTATCGCCTTTTAAGTAGTATAGGTAACTATAATGCAACAAATTAATCAGTCAAGATATTTATTCTTTTTTAGTCGTCAGGTGAATCCATGTAATGGGATTGCGACCAGTTTACATTTTTAAGCGTTTTTTAAATAAAAAATATCATAGTCAACCATATATTTCCGTACATTATGTATACGCTTAGACACAGTTACATATTTGTCCATGCAGACGAATATTATGCCTCTGTAATCGGTCAGTACCATGTCTATACAATATTTAGTGAGAAGGTTTTGTTTATATTCAATTCTAGTGTAGTCTATTATGCCACACATAAGTCTGCGTTGGCTGAGTGCTTCGATATATGCATCCCTGTATGACGATGTATTTTTTTAGGTCGATGTTAGTGTCACCGATCAACAATAAGTTCTGTTTCAATTCGAACTAAATAAGTTTACTTAGCTAACAAACAGATTTTTGTTTGAGGATGGTGGTCTATAAACTGCACATACGACTATATTATATTTTTAATTTAATTTGATCGTCCCAACATGACTTTCAAATGTATTGGTTTTATGTTGGATAATGGCGAACTTTAGATAACTACGTACATAGATTATAATACTGCCCGAAGTAGCGCCCAGAATCAGCCTGTGACAGTCGGAAGGAAACGATCCCGTGCTGCCGCCTCGCTCTCTTGACGATGACCGGCTGGGACGCCTCCACGCAAAGCCTGAAGCCTCTGGCCACGACGACCAACGAGCCATCGTGTCTCGGCGAGCGGCCTCTCACTACTCGCGTTACTTTTCGGGCGGGGGCGAACTGCCGCTACCTGGCCGGATTCCAGCCATCCGTCTCGAAATACTTCGACGAGCATTTCTGCCTCCAAATCCTACGGTGGATTTGCGGGCGACGCGCCGGTCAGTGCCATTGATGGGCAAAAGTCGCCCATGGCAGATGAAGCGCCGACCAGCTCTGGAGAAAAGCCACCTCCTGTCAATGATCAAGCCCAGATACTTTATCTGTGCCTGAACCGGTACGAGGGCCGAATTGACCATGATTGAGGCACTATGACGGGGCCTATTGAACAAAAGGGCCTCCGTCTTATCCAGGCCATTCGTAAGCCCAGCGCTTCAATGCGCCCGGGCACCAAAGAGACTCCCATGTGGTGATGCCCAATTATTATTTTAAAAGAATACATTCGTCTTGTGTATCTTTCGCCAGATGAATCAGATATACTTTTTGAAGTTTAATGGCATTCACGCTAACTTCTGTTTCAGACATTACCTAAAAATTCAAATTTGGCTGTTACCGCGTCATACGAAGTTTTGCCCTTCCTTAACTGGCCCAATAAATATAATAGTTGGGGTTTCGCTATAAGGAGGATTTGCAGCGCTAGGTCTGTTACAGCAAAACATTTATAATATTGGTAGTACTAATAATAGTTACATAAAATTTAATAAGATTTATTTGATCCCAATATAAAGTATAAATATTTTTTCTAAAAGATAAGAGCTCAGTTTATTCGTAAATAAAAAAGGCTAACTTATGAAAAAAACTTGCTGGCACACTAATTACACTATGATGTATTTACTCAAGATGAAGTGTAATTAAAGTAAGTTAAATATTAAGCAAGCATAACATGTCTACATAAATAAAACAATCAAAAACCCTACTGAAAAAGACAATTTAAAAGTAATGCACTAAAAAGACAAACATGGCTCATTTTTACGCCATCAAAACTTTTTAAACCAATTTATTATTCCTTATGAAATTTAAATAGAAAACTTAGATTATTAATAATAACTATAAAGGTTAATTTTGTAATTCCCTTTTAATTTTCTTGAATTTGGTTGATACTAGATGCATTTATTTAGTTAATAGATAAATGTTGTTAATGTGGTTGACACAGCATACGTTTTAGTTGTTGGTATAATCAGGATAATTCGTAGAATAGGCAGCCCATAGCCCTTTTTGTTTATACTTACATACAGACATATTGTTTTTTCTTCCCAATACTTGATGCTTAGTAGGCAAATAATATGAACATATTTAAAAATTATATGGAATGTGTATTTGAATTTTTACAAATTGATACATATGTTTTATTTATAACTCGAACGAATTAAGGCGATAGCTCAATTTAAGACTGTATTAATAATTTATTACGGTAAACTATCTTCTTTAAAGCTAACGTACGCTAGCGGTAACAATTCTGATATTGACGTATGCAGCACTTCGTCCAGGCTAGGTCTACTCAGGAAGATTTCGATGTCACCATTTGAACTACGAAACTCACTAAGCATTTGTCTGCACACGCCGCAGGGTGCGGTAAAGTTCTGCTGATGAGCGACTACGGCAACGGTCTGGATCTTGGAGTATCCATCAGACACGGCCTTTGCTACTGCTGTACGTTCAGCGCATAAGGAAGGCGTCATCGTTGCACTTTCGATATTGCATCCTGTGTAAATTTTATCACCCTTTTCTGTTAAGATAGCGCTACCGACTGCGAAGTTTGAATACGGGCAATATGCTTTTTTTCTTTCTTCTGCCGCCATCTTAAGAATTTGTTGAACAGTCGCACCTGAAAATTAGAATCTATTTTAGTTAATTAAACTACTTTTTAAATGTTGAATTGTTATCGGTGTGAATAAAGTTACCTTAAATACCTAGGCAAAACTAAAATTAGGTTTTAATTAATCAAATATATTTATGTAGGTATACTTTGACTTGTCCTTAGTCTAAAATGCAAATTTACTTAACCCACTTCGCTTTTGCATGCACTTATCTATTAAAATTGTAACGATATCATATACCTACCTAATGTTTTTGATTAGTTAGTGACATATTTGCCTTACTTTTAATATGAAATACTAGTGGTAAATTAAAAGAAATGTGAATATTGTTGGTATAAAAAATCATTTTTTTTTAAAGTTTTAATTTAAAAAGAGAAATAGCAGTTTTATGTCAATTCTGTGGTTTTTATTTACTTTTCTGTAAACAAATATTTTGAAGATACTGTACAGGTAAGGTAAGGTAATGAATAAAGGTAAAAATATTGAATGTACGTGGAAGGGAAACTGCCAATATGATTGGTGATGAACCGTGTCAGCATCAAGGACAACGAGTCGCCGGCGCAAATATTTATGTTGCATGTGTTTTACTAAGTTTTAAGGTTAGATATGTATTTTCATTTTTAAAAATGTACTCTAAAATATAAAGTCATACGCGTTATTTTTCAAGTAAGAAGCTAAATAGAGAAGAAGAATATGTCGATAGTTAAATCAATAATTAAAAACAGTGTTAATACGCATTGAAGTTCAATAAATAAAAAATATACTTACTCAGAGAGTCAAACTGGACAACTGTAAAATTCTCCATGAGCGCGCGTTCGTGTAATAAATAATGGTAGCAAAAATAAATAAGAGGCGCAGAGCTCTCAGCGCAGCGGTCACCGGCCAACTGATTAAGTCAAACGATCGTTGATTAGTGTGTTACTGTTATGGTTATGATTGAAGATCCCTTATGACGAACAACGTGGTATTTCTTTCGCAAATGGTTGGCGTGTACTGGAAACAATTATTTTCTTTACGCGCGGAGAGATTACGTTTATGTTACAGTAGGTACTTACCGTTTAGTTTTAATTATTAGATTATTTTGATAGGCTGTTTTCAGAACTTTACAGCTCTTTGATTTATGTATAAACAAACAAAAAGGTATAGGGCACGTTTAAAGTCCAAAGTTATCGAAATGTTATTAAGTACCTCCCCTGATTTTTAAATTTCATGTTAATTATCATGAAATTTAAAAAACAATGGACAAGATTTAGGGAACGACATTTCATATACATTAACATATAATTATATGTTAATTTATCTGGAATCTTGTTCCTTAATTAATTATTCGTAATAAATTATACTTACGAATAATACGATATATGAGTGTGTGGTGAAGGACACAGGTCTAAAACCTTAGTAAAAACTAATTATAGTCGCCATAATTATATATTTTTTTAAACAAACAGGAATAGTTTTCCGGAGGGCAGTTTGTCATGGTCGTACCGACTGGAACCACGCGGAGTGCCATGCTGTAGGAGGGAACCGGGCACCTGTTTATACCCAAGCTAAGTATGCTAATGTTGGTTCATACCAGGGATGTGCCGGATCGTTAACAAAGTATATCCGCGGATACGGATCCGAATACGGATATTTGGTGTCAAGATCCGCGGATACGGATACGGATCTTAAGTTTCTTACTCAATCGGAGCCCGTGACCTTGATAGTTGTCGCCACTTGACGCTTTGCCGTTGACGCGTGCCAGACAGGTCAGTACGTGTTTCGTAAAGATGAAAATGTTATAAAGATTCAAGTTGTGGTTGTCCCATTATAGAAGTGATGTTAAAAGTTTCTATAATATTTAAATATTTCATTATTTTAATAAGCTAATACAAATATGTTTGATTGATCTCATTATAAAGATAGCTCTTTCCGTACCTACGACCTGCCTAGTTGATTTAGTGTAGTACGATAAATGATTGCAATACCTTTGTGCCAAATATTTGTTTTAAGAAATAAAAAGTAATCTGAACAGAATTCAATAGTGTTTCATAGCTACCTAATAACATTATTCAGGGTTATTTTAAATTTACTGAAAACCTCTGAAGTGCATATTAGTAACATTATAAACAACAACTTTTCTTCTGGACTAACACCGAAAACGAAAGAAAAAAAATTGTTTCTCCATACAAACTTACAACATTTGATTGGTAATTTGAATGGAGGACCAATTTTTTTTCATTTTAACGTTGGCCTGAAAAAAAGTTGCTGTTTGTAGTGTTACAAAGTTCGTGTTTTCACTGTAAAACTATTAGGTATGTGTTTGTAATACAAACACATACCTAATAGTTTTACAGTGAATACAAAATCACCTAGAATTTCATCTATGTATTGAAAGATCCGTGAAAGATCCGCCAAAAAAGTCACGGATACGGATACGGTTACGTATCTCTCTTCTCCCTTGGATATCCGCGGATACGGATACGGATACGGATATCCGGCACATCTCTAGTTCATACTAAGAAAGTCTAACTTATTAAGCGTGATATTTAGGCGTCCCCCTTGGTCCCGACCCTTTGCATATGAACGAAAGTGTTAACGCAGAAATTATGTGTAACGCTGATAAAACAGTGATTATCCATGAAAGCTCTTCTTGTGCAAGTACGACACAGAATTTGATCTATTAACTTTAATTGAAAAGAAGACTAATTACATGTTTTCACAAAACCGTGGCGTAAGGCCCAGAACAACACCCTAAAATAAAACTGTGTTTGGATCAGTTGTGCTGCAGCTGTGTGTGTAATAACCTTTGAAAGCTGACACCGCCGCCACCGCCGCTGACACTTAACTTTTAGGCACACATAAACTCAATATCAACACGAGTAAGAAAAACTACTAACATAATGAAACTACTTCGAGGCACAGCATCACCAGGTTGTTTTAAAACTGCTTTATTTTGCCCTTACACGATCACTTTTATTTTACTACATAACTCGCTGGAGTAGTGCACATATTGATATTGCAAGCCAAAATAGTCTTTATAATACGTTTTAAAAGCCATGCTTGAAAGAAGCTTTAGGTATCCAACTGCTTAAGGTCAGTTTCGATATACTCCTGATCTTTCAAATGTTTTAAGAGGTTGTTTCGTAGTAAAGTATCAATCACAGTAGTAATCACATCACACTCAACGTTGCATTTTTAATACTTTACTACGAGAATACCTTTTATGAAATTTATGAGATCGAGTATAGATGTAAAACTTTTTCTTGCTTTTATTTAAAAAAAGACAACTCCCGCATTATGAATAAATCCTGTGTCGCCGGGGACTTCACAAACATACATGAACGAACACAAAGAACACTCAGACTCAGAACAACAATTTATGGATCACACAAAGTGTCATCCCATGTGGGGATCGAACCCACAACACTCAGCGTAATAGGAAGCGTCGTGGCAACCGCTTAAACCACTACGCCATCCGTGCAGTTATACAACCGATTTTAAACGTTTTAAACCAAATGTTGCCGTTTTAAACCCCAAATAAACCGTGTTCAACAGTTGAAAACTCGCCTACAAAAATAAAACAAATGTTTTTTACACTTCATTGTGGGCAATTTTTGGTCACTTGACGTCACGTTTCGTTTTAATTAGTTTATAAAAATCAATAGAAAGTACCTACCTACATTACCTACTTCACGAAAACTTAAGTATGTAGGTATACCTATACTTATTTATTATAATAATATTATATTACACACATTAGATTAGAAAACATCAATAACACAATGCCGTCTGTTTTACTGGCGCATGAAAGAGAGAACGTTATGTCTTCAAGGCCGTCGCGAGTAACGACCTCAACGAGAGTGCGAGAGTGTGAGTTTGGTTTTAAACTGAATCAAATTGATTATTTATATCGTTTGAAAACAATGAAAAATTTTTTTTTGCCGACACAGAGTTTTTAACCTATCAATAGAGTTTTTGTAACTTGAAAAAAAATGTAGTTATAATTAAGAATAACATAGTCATCAACACCAACCGTTTTAAATTAAAAAAAATGGTTTATTTCGGTTTTAAACAGTTTTTTTTCGTTTTAAACGGATTGGTTCAATTGGTTTTAAACCGGCGTTACATCTATAAAATCAAGAGTGCCTCGTAACTGAATTTTGAATGAATATTTATTACCTACGAGAATTGACCTGCTGAGCTCTATAAAGAATGTGAGGTCTTAACTATAATGTTTTAAAACAATTTCATACTATTTATTTACTAACTTTGTCTTCCTAGTGTTTTTCTTGTTGCCAACTCAAATACGTTTTTGATATTTTTACCTGGCTATTTAGGCAGTCTGGATAGAAAATAATATTCGGCATCCTTTCTATACACTAACGCCATTTAAGTCATGAGCTTGCTATTCTAAAAGTACGATGTTATACTCGTATGTGTATTGTGTTTGTAATATTGATCTCCTTAAGAATATAAGATAAAAGACAAAACGAATGTAGATAAGTAAGGTCAGATAAACAATATTTACTTATCTGACCGTTTTTGGGGAATCCCCATTCCCCAAAAAACATTGTGAATGAAAAGGGTTGCCAGTTCAGAAATTACAATCGGGTTAATTTCTTTGAATTCCTATTCAATTCATTGCATATGGAAAGAATTGTTTACTTTTATACTATTAAGATATTTTTCTACTCTCTTTCGACTTGTTTTTCTGAGCTGGTATTTTATAATAGTCTTGGAGGCAGCTTTAAGAAAATTATTACATAGATTATTTTCTCAGTAACTGTGAAGAATGCATTTCATGATAGCCTGTCTATCTTTTTAACTTGTATACAGCAGTGCAGTTACATGTATTGCAATTCTAGGATTGCATAACGTTATGCAAATTCTTTTCATTGGAGTCATTGTTGTGTGTCAGCTATTATGCTCACATTACAAACGGCATTGTTGTAAAATTAATGTCCGATCCATCCCAATATGTCCAAGTATCTACCTACTAATTTAATAATGAATCCCTATATTTCTAGAATATCAACCATAGATTTTATTTTCTTTCTTATTATTACTAATTTAATTTAATAAATGATTACAGTAGGTAACTAACTATTTTTTTTTTGTGAACACGCCAAAGGATAACACTTCGATTACTATAAGTAAATGTAGGTATTAGACAAAAGTATTAACATGGATTTGAGATAGACAGAAACTCACACAAACTTGCAACTAGGCTAAATATGTGCTAATTTTATTGTGAAGTAATAACTTTCTGCAGTCAATCAGATCTCGCTGCAGAATACAGCTATTTATTTTTTATCGGCCGTTGAAAGTTTATTTACTTAATCTGAAGAAGCTTCGTAATATGCAGTATTTAAAAAAATGATATATAATGATACTTTCAATTGAAACCTTGTGATACATTCATATTATTCGTAAGAAACATAATTGCAACTGGTTACGAGTTATGTTAGTTGCAAAAGGTTGGTGATTACGGTCGCCCAACCTTAGCTAGTTTAAAATGGATGGTGAATATAACTCGATATTGTGTTTATTAAATGTTAATACTAAGTTCCACTACTATATTTTGGGTTCGCAATTGCAAAAACTATCCATTGATAACCTTTAACCACTAAAACTAATCTACGTTTAACCATTATAATTGATTAGGTACCAAATTTGCCCATAATATTAGCAAGTTTAGTAATCAATTTTATATGAAGTTGACTTTAAGTATACCAAAACTAGACTAACGAGGTGATTTTCAAAAATAATTATTCTATGTGAGAAACAAACCCAACAACACCAGTCACGGAAATCAAGAGTGAG